AAAAAAAAAAAAAAAAAAAAAAGGTAATTGCCGGTTAAAATAGCTGACTAACACCGCTACTAAATCCGAGAGCTTCCCCGCAGTACTTTTCTCCTCTTCTTCTTCTCCTCAGCTTTCAATCTCTACGCTTTTGCTGTGAGCTCATCAAACCTCTATACTAGGACGGGAGATTGAGTAGAAGAGAATTATCACAATGCAGTCCTCGTTGCTTCTTCGTGCTAGGGGCCTTCCATTGGCCAAGTCCTCCTTCGCCCGCTCCAGCATCCGGGCGATGGGATCCTACGCCACCTTCAAGGTCCCCCGTATTGACAACGAACCCAACGTGAGCTTCGACTTCGTGCCCTTGGAATTACTTGTCTCGCGATACTGACCTCAAACAGAAACATTATGCCCCTGGTTCTCCCGATCGCAAGGGTCTCGAGGAAGCCCTGGCGAAGCACAAGCAGAATGCTCCCCTCAATGTTCCCTTGGTGATCGGTGGCAAGGAGGTTAGTTGTGAACTTGGAATGTACCTCACAAAATCAGCGTTAACCGATATCACAGATCAAGAGCTCCGAAACCTTCACACAAGCCAGCCCTGCTACTCATGCTCCTTTGGCCACATACTCTCATGCCACCGCCTCAGATGTCCAGGCCGCCATTGACGCCGCTCTTAAGGCCCGCGAGTCTTGGGCCTCCACTTCGTTTGCTGAACGTGCCAGCATCTTCCTCAAGGCGGCCGATTTGATTGCCACCAAGTACCGCTACGATATCATGGCCTTGACCATGCACGGTCAGGGCAAGAACGCCTGGCAGGCTGAGATCGACTCCGCCGCCGAGCTGTGCGACTTCTTCCGTTTCGGGGTCAAGTACGCTGAGGATCTGTACGCATCGCAGCCCGTTCACAACGCCCCTGGCGTTTGGAAGTGAGTATCCTACTTGCAGGGTTTCTTTACAGTGAACTAACAGGAACCAGCCGTGTCGAGTACCGTGCCCTGGAGGGATTCGTCTATGCTATCAGTCCTTTCAACTTCACTGCCATTGGTGGCAACCTGGCTGGTGCCCCTGCTCTGATGGGTAACGTAGTTGTCTGGAAGCCCTCTCCTTCCGCCATTGCGTCCAACTGGCTCGTTCACGAGATCCTCCTGGAGGCTGGTCTCCCTAAGAATGTCATCCAGTTCGTCCCTGGTGACGCTGAGGAGGTAACCAACACTGTCCTCAACCACCCCGAGTTCGCTGCTCTTCACTTCACTGGTAGCACCAGCGTGTTCCGTAGCCTCTACGGCCAGATCGCCAACCGCGTTGCTGAGGGCAAGTACCGCAGCTACCCTCGCATTGTTGGTGAAACCGGCGGAAAGAACTTCCACCTTATTCACAAATCGGCCGATGTTCGCAACGCGGTCGTCCAGACCGTCCGTGGAGCCTTCGAATTCCAGGGACAGAAGTGCAGTGCTACCTCCCGCGCATACGTCGCCGCTTCCGTCGCCGATGAGTTCTTGGAGCAGGTTGCCGCCGAGACCAAGAAGCTCAAGGTTGGTGAGCCAACCGATTTTACCAACTTCTGCGGTCCTGTCATCCATGAGGCTTCTTTCAACAAGCTGGCGAAGGTGATCGACGAGGCCAAGAACGACCCTGAGCTCGAGCTTCTGGCCGGTGGTACCTACGACTCCTCCAAGGGCTGGTATATTCAGCCTACCGTCTATCACACTTCCAACCCCGATCACCCACTTCTGTCCCGTGAGCTCTTCGGTCCCGTCCTTGTCATCCACACCTACAATGACGCCACCGAGGCCGACTTCACCAAGATCTGCGAGAAGATCGACCAGACTGGCGAGTATGGTCTGACCGGAGCCGTGTTCGCGCAGGACCGCGAGGCCCTCCGCCAGGCAGATGACGCCCTCCGCAACACTGCCGGTAACTTCTACATCAACTGCAAGAGCACCGGTGCCGTTGTCGGCCAGCAGCCTTTCGGTGGTGCTCGTGCCAGTGGCACCAACGACAAGGCGGGCAGCGGAAACCTGCTCTCTCGTTTCGTCAGCTTGCGTTCCATGAAAGAGGAGTTCGTCCCCACCTACAACGTTGCCTACCCTAGCAACGCATAAACTGTGTCATGAGTGTCTTGTTTTGGTTAATGTATTCCCCGATCTGTATCTGGTGTTGTTAATTTGGTGGGATTGTCTATTTCTGCATAGTATTTTGGCGTTCATATGAAAGCTTTCCGCGCGACAAAAGTTCGCTAGGCATTGTACGAAGGTATATACCACATCAGTGAATGAATTTCATCGGGTTTATCCCATGCACAAACTATCTCTCTCAAAATCTATATAGATCTACTCCGCAGAGCTCTCCAATAATCTCCGCATACTCTCCATAGCACTCCACGCATACTCTCCCATCTCATACTCCTTCCCCTTCCCCTCAGCCCCTCCATCAAATATCTCCATGGAGAACCAGCCCCGGAACCCCGTCTTCAGTACCGCTCTGGCGACCCTCTCAATAGGCAAATAACCCCCACCATAGGGCCTAGGCCGATAATCATGGCTCCACCGTGCCCTCGGCCAAGCCCCATCAATCATCTTCCCCTCAATTGGCCGAACAGGCTTATACGCATCCGACACCTGCAACAGATAAATCTTCTCCGCCGGAACCGTGCTCGCCAATTCCTCCAGACTCTTCTCCAACCGCCGGTCCAGTTCCTCAACGGGCAAATCTTCAATTCTTCCTGTATATGTCGTTGGATCGCCCCATTCAGACCCAGCGGTTTGGAACGTATCAAGACAAAGTCCGATATTAGGTCTACCGACTAGATGGACGAGCGTCCAGACGTCTTTCCACGTGGGCGCGTGCGTAGACCAGCACCAGTTTTCATACGCAAGACGCATGTTATGCGTTGCGAGCAGGTTGCAGAGCTCACGGAGATCAGTAATGATGTTTTCTTGGGTTGCAGAGAGTTCGTCGAGGGGTGTATCTGTTGAGCCGACCTTTTATCATCCACATTAGTCTGTTCAAACATACACTTTCACACGCAAACCCCCGCATAAATCCATATTGAATGTAAGATTGGAGAGGAAAATACCTGAAGTAAATCCGTTCCCACAGCCCTCATAACCTCAATCCACCCCTTTGCTCTCGCAAACGCATCCTCCCTCTCCTTCGATCCCCGCGGCCAACCCTCGAAGTTCGCGAATGGTTGCAACATCATCACCTTTAAGTTTTTGGCTTCGCATTGTTTGCGGATATCTTGTGCGACGGTGACGAGCTCGGCGTAGTTATCTTCTGCGACTTCATGGCCGAGGAGGTCTTGGGCATAGGAAACGATGTCTGGGAAGGCGAGCTCGATTCCAGTGAAGCCGGCTTGGTGGAGAGCGTCGAGTTTACGGGGGAGGGTGTCGGATTTGGATGCGCCTATTGAGCAGGTGGCGTAGGAGAGAGGGATTTTGCTTATATCGGTGGTCATTTTTGTTGCGTTTCTTTTTTTTTTTTGGAAGGGGGGGGGGTTAGAGCTACGGGTATTGGTTTGTTGGGTAGTTGATTTGATTTTTAGGGTTGTTAGGATTGCTGGGAATATGAGTTTAGAAATATGGTTATTGTGTTTTGGAGTACCACCTGTAGTTTAATGCTTAGTATAATAGCTAGACGTGATCAAATTCCTAGCAATTTGGCGATCTTGTTTCCAATGTTGAGCATATGATGTAATGATTTATGGGAGTCAAGAACCAGTTAGGGTTCGGAGATCCACTTGACTCCATCTCGGAGGTTTGAAAGTAAAACAAAAGTCCAAAAGATAACGGACGTAAGTTCATCGTGACGTCCCCGGTGACATGATGTAATCACAGCGTCGTGTTCCTAGACTCAATTGAAACATCTTTTATTGCCACAATGCGATTCAAGTAGGCGTGGAATTCAGCGCTGATCTTCAACACTAGATTGAATTCTCCAGATGATCGTTCTCGTTCCAGTTTCGTGAAGCGTGACAATGTCGTCAAAAGATCAGAACCAACAGTTCAAGCGCATTGGCATCGTTGGAGCCGGGAATATGGGTTCCATGATGGCCTTTGCCTTTTCGGAACTCAGTCTTGACGTTTCTATTTGGGACGTCAACAAAGAGAATGTTGACCAGCTCTTGGAATCGGCTAAGGATATGAAAGGTCAAGGAAAGATCGAAGGGTTTGAAGAGATTGGTGAATTCACCAAGAGCTTAGAGGGTCAGGGCGAGCGGAAACTGTTTATTTTCTCCATCACTCATGGCAATCCCGCGGACTCCGTTCTTAGTAAGATCAAGCATGCATTGAAGAAAGGCGACATTATCCTTGACGGTGGAAATGAGAACTACCGGCGCACGGAAAGGAGGCAGAAGGAGTGCGAAGCGATTGGCGTTAGTTGGATTGGAACAGGTGTTTCTGGTGGATACCAATCCGCTCGCCGTGGACCGAGCTTGTCTCCTGGTGGTGATGAAAAGGCGCTGGAGCTTGTACTACCTCTTTTGGAGCGCTATGCGGCCAAGGACCGCAAGACCGGTCTTCTATGTGTGGCTAGAGTTGGTCCGGCGGGCTCGGGGCATTTTGTTAAGATGGTACACAATGGAATCGAGGGTGGCATGCTTTCCGCGGTCGCCGAGGCTTGGTCTATTCTCCATTACGGGCTAGGGCTTAAATATGATGAGATCGGAGACATCTTTGATGGATGGAATCAGAAGGGCGAACTCCGGAATAACTTCCTCCTCGAGATTGGAGCCGATGTATGCCACCGAAGGAAATCTCCCGAAGGAGACGGCAAAGGCGAAGGAATCGGTGACAAGAACGAATACGTTCTTGATGATGTTCTTGATAAAGTTGTACAAGATGACGACGACACGGAAGGCACCCCCTACTGGTGTGTTATGGAGACCGCCAGTCGTCATGTTTCTGCGCCGACCATTGCAACCGGTCATTACATGCGCATCGCCAGTGGTAACCGTGCAGAACGGCTGCGGGTGGCGGACAAACTGCAGATGCCAAAGCCCAAGTCCATCGAAGGCATCAAGGACCGGCGGGTTTTTATTGAGGATCTGCGGCGAGCAGTCTACTGTTCCTTCCTATCTTCCTTCTGTCAGGGCCTAGAACTGATTGCACGCGCTTCTGATGACGAAGGATGGAATATTGACCTTAGCAAATGCCTCCAGATCTGGCGTGGCGGTTGTATTATCCAGTCGGAAGCTATTGCCGACCTTCTACAGCCGTTACTCAAAAAGGATGTGCACTATACTAATCTGAAAGACATCGATGAAGTCGCTCATGAATTGAAGCAAAACTTTAACTCTCTCAAACGGACTGTGATTGACGCAACAGTGTTTGATCACTATATCCCGGCGATTTCCGCAACCTTGGAGTACCTGAAATATGCGGGCGGGACGATGCTCCCAACCAAATTTATGGAAGCCCAGATGGACTTATTCGGTGCTCATGCATATTACAAGCCAGGAGTTCCCGGTGAAGATCCAGGGCCGGTCAAGAAGGGGCCTCATCACTATGAGTGGCGGCCAGCTTAGAGTCTGTCTGTGTATAGTCGCTTGTATACATTCCCGCCTATTTTATATCGAAAACGCCATATATAGTGGTTCTCCTTTTTGTCCCTTTTTCTTTTTTTCCCTCTTAACAATCCAGACGTGAAGCCTATAGGATTCATGGTATTCTATAGTACGCCCTCTTATATATACAAGCGGATGGATTGCAAAAGGGTGGTAGTAGATCATTCGTTGCCGTTGCCGCAACATTAATCAAGCTTAATGTTATTTACTACGTAGTATACTAGATATCCATGACTAATTTATACGTGACGAACGCTATTTGAACCTGTATATACGTTTACACCCCCAGAGTATTTGTAAGGGATAGTACGAAGTACTGTTTTAGTTTCCCTTTTCTAGAATGTATGATTGGTGCCTGACTGCCTAAGGAACCGCCCACGTGGGGAATCAGATAAGGCGTGATTGCCCAATCGGGAGGAGAAAATGACCCCGCCCTCAGAATTTATCGCCAAAGGAATTTCCAGGTTGCATTGGATGTCCTCATTCCCTCTACTTCGCCGTTCCCTCGCAACCCTCACAACTAAACCGCTCAGGAGAATCGAGTCTGCCAAGCAACTTGCCAAAAGAATGGCTTCTCTTCCTAACACTTACGCGGGTTCGTTTCCCCTCATTCTACGACATGAGCAACTGATACTGACCCCATCGCTCCTATAGACCCTGTCCGTATTGCGGTCATCGGTGGAACTGGTCTTCGTGAACTGCCTGGCTTCACTCAGGTTGCTTCCTTGAACATCTCGACTCCCTGGGGCACTCCCTCCTCCCCGATCACCATCCTGCACCACAACTGCTCTCACAACAACCAGACCGTCGCAGTCGCTTTCCTCAGTCGTCACGGCCTGCACCATCAGATTGCCCCCCATGAGGTACCTGCCCGCGCCAACATCGCTGCCCTGCGCTCTATTGGTGTCCGCACCATCATTGCCTTCTCGGCCGTCGGCAGCTTGCAAGAGGAGATCAAGCCCCGCGACTTCGTGATTCCAGACCAGGTCATTGACCGTACCAAGGGCATCCGGCCTTTCACATTCTTTGAGGGAGGTGTGGTTGCTCACGTTCCTTTCGGAGACCCTTTCGATGAGGGTGTTGCCAAGGTTGTGAGGGCTTGCGGCCACAGCCTCGAGGGCGAGGGTGTTGTGCTGCATGACCGCGGCACATTGGTGTGCATGGGTATGTAATTCGTCCAATCCGGTCGTTGCGACAGGTGTCTGTATAATCAGTTACTGACTCTTCCCCCAGAGGGACCTCAATTCTCCACCCGTGCTGAGAGCAAGCTCTACCGCTCCTGGGGAGGCAGTGTCATCAACATGTCCTGTCTTCCAGAGGCGAAGCTGGCTCGTGAGGCCGAGATTGCCTACCAGATGATCTGCATGTCCACTGACTATGACTGTTGGCACGAGGCTACCGCAGATGTCACTGTGGAAATGGTCATGGGAAATATGAAGGCCAATGCTGAGAACGCTAAGCACTTCGTCACTGCCGTCCTCGATGAGCTCGCCTCTGACAAGAACTCGGAACTCGTCCAAGCCAAGCATGTGGAAGGCTCTGTCAAGTTTGGTCTCAGCACCGCCCAGCCTAACTGGAGCCCTGAAGCTAGAGAGAGGATGAACTGGCTTTTCCCTGGATACTTCAACTAATTCATTTACTATTAGAGAAGGTGCTTGAACATACCAACATACACATGTTTTCCTTGCGATAGATGTCTATAGTTGATTATGAACTTATGAAATAAAGTCTGTGTCAATGATGCATTTTTCATGATTATTCTTACTCTCTTCTTCTTTATTTGTCATTGAATCGTGTTATCAGTTTCATTTTCCATCACATCGGGGATTGGCGACGAGACAAACAAATATTCACTGAGCGTGAGTCCTGTCGCCGAGAATCTGTGCGCACAACTTGATACAAAGAGGCTGGCTATGTCGGCGCTGCCTGTCATAGGCAAGTATTCTTTAACACGTACACTTACTCCCATGAGTTGTTTGTCCTCACCATCTGCCCCGTCAGCCACGACGATGGACTACATCATAGACCCCGAAGGAGATATGCTCCTGATCGTGGAGGAATGCTCGGGAAATCTTCATCTGGATTTGGTTCAGAAAGGTAATCGTCTCAGGCCGACTAAGGCTTGTTTAGGGAAACACTAATCCTGCTGTGTTGTATACTAGAATCTTCAACTCCAGCAGCTCTGCCCCTAGGACCAACTTTAGACGTGCAGGCAGTCGATGAGCTGGCTCTGATCCCAACTCTGCCCCAGTTCCCGTCTCGGCTCGCTTTAGATAACGTTTCCTCCGCAGCTAATAGTGGCCAGCCTGTCGTCTTTGCCAAAACGGTGATGCTCAAGATTCGTGTGTCCTCAAAACACTTGACCCTTGCATCTTCATACTTCCGCCAGAGGCTAGTCCCAGAGACAGCTGATCACAGGCCAGTCGAAAAAGACGTGGTCCCAGCATGCGTTGAGGATGTCGATGCCTTGCTTATCATGCTGGACATCATCCATGGTCAAACCAGGAAAGTGCCGCGTTTAATTAGCTTCAAAAAGTTGTTCATGATTGCGGTGCTTGTGGAGCACTACGAATGCGTCGAAGCAATGGAAGCGTTTGCTGAAGTGTGGACCGAGAACCTCAAGGGCGACATCCCTCTAGTGTATTCAGAGGACTTGGTCAAGTGGATCGGTATCGCTTGGATCTTTCGACTGGAGAGTCTGTTCCAAAAGACTACTCGTACTGCAATCCGAAGATGCACCGGGCCAATCTCCGCCATGGACGTTCCAATTCCGCTTGCGTTAATCGGTGAGCAGGTTATTATATACCCCTTGTCCAATGTCCATTTAGAGCCATCGATAGATGCTGATGATATGTCTGAACCAGAGGAGATTGAGTATTCCCGGCAGAGCACCGTCGATGATATCGTCGATCGCCTTTCTAGGCGAATCAACTGGGAGCTAATGCCCGACACCAACCTCTATTGCTGCGGCGATTGTGACGCAATGATCCTCGGGGTCCTCGTGCGCCAGCTGAAGATTCATGAGCTCTACCCACTGCCATTGCGTCCTTTTCGAGAGATCAGTGTAGATTTCTTGCTGCAAACATTGACCACACTGCCTGAGCCCCGTTGCTATGAGCTGGTTCATTCCAACTGCGGGAAATTGTCCAAGTGTTACCTTATGCCGAAGGCGAAGGACTTGGTGGAGAAAGTGGACAAAGAGGTAACAGGTCTAGTGCTCAGAAACGCTCACTTCTGACCGACATACAGCCAGCCCATGACTTGAAATTCTTTCTAGCTGTGGGTCGTGGACGCAGAGTCACGGCACGAGAGGGAAACTTTTGGTGAATCGTTGGTAGTGGAGAGGGCTTGGATTTGGTCTGAGAAAGACAACATGTCTATCATAAGGCATTTGGGATGGATGGTATGGATCTTCACGATCGGTTACTACTGGAATTACTGGTTTATGATGTTACCCTTTCATGTTGAATAGCTAGTTGGCCGGTGACAGACAATGCAGTGTTCTAATGCGAGCAGTCCTTGATGGCTTCGGAACCCATTTTGACCCGCTCATGGCACGATTGGTATCAGTGGCCAAGACGGCCGGACGTCAACGCCACCCATCTTGGCTAGAAATAATCCATTTGCAATCATCATAACACTAGCCTATAGGAGAAATTGACAAAGGTACAATCCAGAGAATAAATGCCGCTGATAGGTGGAATGAATTCTTCAGCGAATTCGGAGCTGTTGGATGTCTCCTTTTCCAGTTTCCCGTCGACAAACATCATTCTCAGACTAGAGATTCCATTCTAGGATTAGATACCGAGACATTACTTGCAGCCTAATTATTTTTAGACTGTCGATCTGGAACTAATGTTGCTTTGATTTCCAAGATTCCCTTTCGAGCGTTGACATGGACGACAACCTTGCGGTCGGTGCGACACCGCGTGGCTGGATAGGGCTATTGAAGGTCACACCCTTTGAGCAGTCACATGAAATTCCAGAGAGATTGAGACAAAGAAAAGCGATTGAACCTGTTCGAGAGAAAAAAAAAAAAAAAAACACGGAAATGACCTCTCCGAAGAGAAAATGGAACAGAAAATGTCACTTCCCCTGACGATCGAAGGATCCATATCCAATGATCGACAGGTACTCTTGCTTTTCATGGCCCTAAGTGGTTTGACTCCCCCACTAACATTTAACCGACTCGATCACCCCCTCCCCGGGTTTATTTGTGCAGGTTATGAAGCCTTCCCACCCTCATTAGCCAGTTTATGTCGTCTGACCGGTCTTATACTTTCTTAATCTGCGGGGCATGTACAAGTTGGACTTGAGCCGGACAAATGGGCTGCGAAGATCACGCCCTGTTACGGTTGCACATCATTTACCGAATGGGCTGAAAGACTGGCAGCTAATCGAAACGGCCCAAAGCGTCTCTCCCCCGCCACAGGTTCAGTTTTCTGCAGGGTTTACGGATTAGTTGCCGGATTGGACTAGTCTTGACAACCACTGGCTCTGAAGTCCAGTCATATTGGCGTCGTACTCGATAGTTCTTCAGCGCCTGGTAAGGATTAACATGGGGGAGCCAATAGACGCCTTTGACATGCGAGCGCGCGGGCTGCGCGCCGCATTCCGGCATTATTTCCACCTTGGTTTAGCCTGGACTGTGACCAGTGTGCAGCACACTGTCTCTGGTGAATGATACCTCCAGCCTTAAATCACGATCCCATGACCGAGCACCCTGCGTTGCGGCCTTCCGACGTATTCCTATAAAGATAACCCCCCACCCTCTCCTCCTCTCTAGCTTAATGACGTCTTATCGCTAGTCGGCTTTTCTTGGCCTCTAGTACTCTATCATGGCTGCCTTCCCGGCCTATTTGGCTCTTTTGTCTTACTTAATTCCGGGGGCTCTGTCTGCCCCTGGGGTAGAGACTCTGACATCACGAGCCTCTGCAGAAGCTTACTCCCCTCCATATTACCCGGCTCCGAATGGAGGATGGGTATCGGAATGGGCCAGTGCCTACGAGAAGGCACACCGGGTTGTAAGTAATATGACTTTGGCCGAGAAGGTCAATCTCACAAGCGGTACGGGCATCTTCATGGGTCCCTGTGCCGGCCAGACTGGCAGTGCTCCCCGGTTCGGGATCCCCAACCTGTGCCTTCACGATTCTCCCCTCGGAGTCCGCAATTCGGATCATAATACGGCATTCCCGGCCGGAATCACGGTTGGGGCCACATTTGACAAGGACTTGATGTACGAGCGCGGAGTCGGTCTTGGCGAAGAGGCGCGAGGAAAGGGTATCAACGTTCTTTTGGGGCCGTCGGTGGGCCCGATCGGGCGGAAGCCCCGGGGGGGTCGCAATTGGGAGTCGTTCGGAGCCGATCCTAGTCTACAGGCCTTTGGGGGCTCGTTGACCATTAAAGGAATGCAAAGCACGGGTGCCATTGCCTCGCTCAAGCATCTTATCGGAAACGAACAGGAGCAGCATCGCATGAGCAGTGTGATCACTCAGGGCTATTCGTCAAATATCGATGACAGGACCATGCATGAGCTGTACCTGTGGCCATTTGCGGAAAGTGTAAGAGCCGGTGCGGGTTCGGTCATGATTGCGTATAACGATGTAAACTGGTCTCCGCACCTGAACCCCCGACAGATTTGACTAAGTGGATTTTAGGTGAACAGGTCCGCCTGCAGCCAGAATAGCAAACTCATCAATGGAATCCTTAAGGACGAACTGGGCTTCCAGGGTTTTGTCGTCACCGACTGGCTGGCTCACATTGGTGGAGTTTCATCAGCATTGGCTGGTCTGGACATGAGCATGCCGGGTGACGGGGCTATCCCACTCTTGGGCACGAGCTACTGGGCGTGGGAGCTGTCGCGCTCCGTGCTTAATGGCTCAGTTCCGGTCGAGCGTCTGAATGACATGGTAGGCCCGCTGACGCTCCCCGTTTGGTCTTTGGCTAACGTGAAGAATTATAGGTCACGCGAATCGTCGCAACATGGTACAAAATGGGGCAGGACAAAGACTACCCGCTGCCAAACTTCTCATCAAACACCGAGGATGAGACTGGACCGTTGTATCCTGGCGCCTTATTCTCCCCGAGTGGCACTGTTAATCAGTACGTCAATGTCCAGGGCAACCACAATATCACGGCCCGGGCCGTCGCCAGGGACGCAATCACGCTGCTAAAGAATGACGATCATGCCCTACCTCTGAAACGGAATGACACCTTGAAGATTTTTGGCACCGATGCTGGGACCAATTCGGACGGGATCAACTCTTGCACTGATAAAGGCTGCAACAAAGGCGTACTGACCATGGGCTGGGGCAGCGGAACATCCAGACTCCCGTATCTCATCACGCCGCAAGAAGCGATAGCCAATATCTCATCCAATGCCGAATTCCACATCACTGACACGTTTCCTTTGGGCGTCTCTGCAGGCCCCGATGACATTGCAATCGTTTTTATCAACTCGGACTCCGGCGAGAACTACATCACCGTCGATGGCAATCCAGGAGACCGCACGCTGGCCGGGCTGCACGCATGGCACAACGGTGATAACCTTGTCAAAGCCGCTGCGGAGAAGTTTTCAAACGTCGTCGTTGTGGTGCATACCGTGGGACCCATCCTGATGGAAGAATGGATCGACCTCGACTCCGTCAAAGCGGTGCTCGTCGCTCACCTACCGGGACAGGAGGCCGGCTGGTCACTAACCGATATCCTCTTCGGGGACTATAGCCCGAGCGGTCATCTGCCTTACACCATCCCTCGCAGTGAATCAGACTATCCGGAGAGCGTCGGACTCATTGCTCAGCCATTCGGCCAAATCCAAGACGACTACACCGAGGGCCTCTACATTGACTACCGACACTTCCTGAAAGCAAACATCACTCCTCGATACCCATTCGGGCACGGTCTCTCGTACACCAAGTTCAACTTCTCCGAGCCCAAACTCTCCATCGTCAAACCCCTGGACGCCGCTTACCCCGCCGCGCGACCCTCTAAAGGCTCCACGCCCACATACCCCAACACCAAACCCGCCGCGTCAGAAGTCGCCTGGCCCAAGAACTTCAACCGTATCTGGCGCTACCTCTACCCCTATCTAGACAACCCGGAAGGTGCAGCCGCCAACTCATCAAAAACATACCCCTACCCGGACGGCTACACCACGGAGCCCCAGCTCGCCCCTCGTGCCGGCGGAGCAGAGGGAGGCAACCCAGCCTTGTGGGACGTGGCCTTTTCGGTACAGGTCAAAGTCACGAACACGGGCTCTCGGGATGGTCGTGCCGTTGCCCAGCTGTATGTCGAGTTGCCCAGTAGCCTGGGACTGGATACGCCATCTCGACAGCTGCGGCAGTTTGAGAAGACCAAGATCTTGGCTGCGGGGGAGAGTGAGGTCCTCACGTTGGATATCACGCGCAAGGATCTTAGTGTTTGGGATGTTGTTGTTCAGGACTGGAAGGCGCCTGTCAATGGGGAGGGAGTGAAGTTCTGGGTTGGGGAGAGCGTGACGGATTTACGTGTTGGGTGTGTGGTTGGGGAAGGGTGTTCTACTTTGGAGTAGGTTGAGTTGGGTTGTATATATGTGGTTCTGGCTGGTGTTTGTCCTTTTTTGAGCTTTACATGTGGGATTTATATAATGGCAGTAATATCATTTTGCGTATATCATCAAGCCTTGGATGTTCTCAGGAGTTGAATCAGATCTCATACTTGTACACAATTCAGTGCACATATTCAGAAGAATAGTATATTTAGGGAACATTGTGTATATAAAATAAACGACCACCATGGAGAAAAAATAATGCTGAAATAAGTAAATTAGGATAGAAGTAAGAGAAAATACGAGACAACGGTGGGATTCAGACATGTTAGAATGGAAGCTCATATGGTCAGCTATACCCGAACGAAGGTCATCACTGTTTGCCTGTTTTCATGCTACTGTATATGTGATTTATCAGATCGTATGTAATGCATTAATCAGTGTTGGTTCATTCTCTATGACCTAGACATGGGCCATGGCTGCTCCAAGAAGAGAATACGCGGAAATAATACCCACTCAACACGTGTCAAGTGCCAGTGGATATCTTAGGGTTCGAGCCGAGCCGTAAGACTTCCATAAGATGCAGATATTGGCTTGCAAGAGGTCGCCTGTATATGCTATTTCCAGTCCGAACAACTAGGTTGTAATATGAGTGGTCTAGTCGTTTAATATCTGCGCGACCTGCTGTTTATTACCTACTGGTTATGTAACTGGGATATTCTAAATTACTCTGTGTTCTTATTTGCTTTATTGCTTATAATCATTGCTAGTCGGAGTGACATCGAATGAGTCGAATAAGCTCTTGTGGGGTAACAACACTTTTGATAATGAGAAAAAAAAAATGATAGAAAGAAAGAAAGAAAGAAAGAAAGAAAGAAAAAAGATGAGAAGAAATGACAGGAGACTAGACCATTAATGAGCTAGTGTAGATCTTGAAGCGGGAGACGGATTGAACCTTAAGGACCTCCACCAATCATTGTATTCAAATCATCCTGAGTGAACATGACTCATGTCTTGGCGGGATCCACCGTGAATTCCGTCCACTCTTGTGATTGGGGGCCTGAATACAGGCCAAGGAAGGTAAACATTAAGCGTGCTATGGATTGAGGTTCATACAATATTTATACCGTCAGTATGCCACAACTATCTGGATGCTTTGTGAGAAGTATTATCCCGCTCGACAAGTCAAAGCCTCTCCTTGATTTCCCTATAGAAGGGAACTTGTCAATCGACGACTGATATCGGAAGTCGTCTATCATCCTGTTTCCCTTCGATTGCCCCGATAAGTCTGCACATATGGTGCTCGCAATCATGAAGGATTTCTTCACCTCAAAAGACAAACCGCTAGAGAAGGAGGAGTCCCATTCGACTGGAACCCTCAGAGATTCAGAGAACGGCAACAAGCAAGAAGACGAGCCTCAATACCCCAGCCCATTCAAGCTGGCAATCATCGTCCTAAGCTTGAACCTTGCCATGTTTCTCGTGGGACTCGACAACACCATCATTTCGAGCGCTATCCCAAAGATTACCGACCAATTTCACGCTCTCGGCGACGTCGGCTGGTATGCCAGCGCGTATCTCCTCACAAACTGCGCCTTCCAATTGATATGGGGGAAGCTATTCACCTTCTACGTAGTGAAATAGATCTACCTCATGGCACTGTTTATCTTTGAACTGGGGTCTCTGATCTGCGCCGTGGCCCCAAGCTCGACGGCTCTGATTGTCGGCCGTGCCATTGCAGGCATTGGCGGTGGTGGTATCGGTAACGGTTCCTTCCTGCTCATCGCCCACTGTGTGCCTCCACGCCGACGTCCGGCGTTCATCGGTATGATGGGTTCCATGTATGGCATTGCGTCCATCGCAGGTCCTCTGATGGGGGGTGCCTTCACGGACAACATTTCCTGGAGATGGTGTTTCTACATCAACCTGCCTCTCGGAGTGCTTCCTGCTGTCATCATTACCTTTTTCATCTCCCCGTTCCGCGGCAGCAAGAAGGGCGAGATTGGTTTCCTGAACCAGCTCAAGCAGATGGATCTTCCAGGAACCGTGTGTCTTTTGCCCGGGGTCATTTGCCTGCTGCTCGCGCTTCAGTGGGGCGGTTCTGCCTACCCCTGGAAGAATGGCCGCATCATAGCTCTATTTGTGCTTGCCGGTCTTCTCTTCATCGCTTTCATTGTCATTCAGTATATCAGTGGAGATCGTGCGACAGTGCCAGGCCGTGTCTTCAGCAACCGGAACGTCTGGGGATCTGCTCTATTTGGTTCGTGCGTGACCGCCGGCTTCTTCCTGTTGCTGTACTATGTAAGTTCCATAACAATCGACCAAAGACACGAACCCCACTAACCCTAACCCAAGATCCCAATCTGGCTACAAGCCGTTAAAGGCGCCAGCGCAATCAAATCCGGAATCATGAATCTCCCCATGCTCCTAGGCAGCGTCATATTCTCCCTCCTGGGCGGGGCCCTCACCTCCATAATCGGTTACTACATGCCCTTCGCCTACCTCACCGTGATCCTCATGTCCATCGGCAGCGGCCTCCTCTCCACCCTGCAAGTGGACTCTGGTCACGCCCAATGGATCGGCTACCAATTCCTCGTCGGCGCCGGAGTGGGCAGCGGCCTACAGACGGCCTTTGCCGCGCCCCAATGTGTCCTACCCCTTGAAGACATCCCAATCGGCACCGCTGTCGTCATCTTCACGGAAAATCTGTCCGCCGCGGTCTTCGTCTCGGTGGCCCAAAACGTGTTCTCGAATCAGTTGCGAACCAACCTGGCTACGCCCGTGCCTGAGGCTGACGCGAGTGCTATCTTGTCCGGCGGTGCTACCGATATCAAGAATCTCGTGCCGCAGGATCTCTATCGGGGTGTTTTGTTCGCGTATAATAAGGCTCTGGATCAGACGTTTTATGTTGGGGTTGCTCTGTCTTGCTGTGCGGCTCTGGGTGTTTTGGGTATGCAGTGGGTGTCGGTGAAGAACCCGAAGAAGGATGATACATCATCTGAGTCGATTTAGATCGGCACTTACTTGGTTTTAGTATTTAATTAGATCTCTACGAATTGATGCCCTATTTATGCCAATCATCTTCCTATTAATGTTCTGCGTAAGATAAAAAAAAAGTAAAAAGAAAAAGATCAAACTCTTCAAAATTAACCAACCTCACAATCCACATGCCACACCCGATTAACCACAAGAAGTACACCTCGTATGAGAATAGCATGAGGAAGACGGAAGTCTGACCAAATAAGGCCCTCCCGGATTAGATTATATAGGCAGTGGCGCCGGGCCGGCGAAGCTATCTTCGTTAGGTCTTCCCTTGATTGACTCATTCTCGGGACCGTCGTATAGACGTTTTACTCCGGTTATGGATTTCGTATTTCCCGTTCTTTTGTTAAATAATATATTCCTCCTGATAGGATCATGCCTATAGTCATCATGTTTGCGTATGTTCTTAACGCGATGAACTAGTCTTGATATCGATCAAAACCGTCCAGTCTATTCTCGTTTCACATACTTTCATACTCAACACCTCATACTCACAATACGTTTATACAAACGACCCAAAACCCATATCAACAGGTCCAAACTCCATCCACCACTAAACCAAACACAAAAGCCCACCAGACACACAAACTCAACAAAAACACAAAAGAATGGGCCCCAACCCAGGTCAAACCCTATCCTCTACATCATCTAAACCAACTCCTCCCGATACCTCAACCCCCAATATCTCTCACCCGAGAACCCAATACCAGATCAACAAGAAACACTCCACGTCTAAACGCTCATACAGCCAGAGACAGCTAGATCAGATCGCCAGAGTGCAGACCGAGCTGCAGCAGGTCAAGGACGAGTGTGAAGCGCTGGAAATGTATGTTTATCAGTTGGAAGAGGAGAGGGAGTGGTTGAGGTATATTCTTCGGGGGGAGGAGTAACGTTCTTTTATCTTTTGAGTTATAGTTATAGGGGTTTATTAGGATGTTTTGTGCTTTGTTTCTATGAAAGGGGATATATGCTTCGCTTCGCTTTGTATGTTGAAACGCCTTGGGTTTCTTTGTGTGGGTAGTGACTGCTGATTATGTTGATGTGTTAGTTCATGGATGGTGAAAGATAGCACTTAGTGATGAAGAGTACAGAGGGATATTTATAAGAGAGACGCTCATCAGCTGTGGTAAAGAACATAGAATATTGATCCATTGAGCTTTACGGCATATCTACTCCCCCCGGCCATAAACCATACCTTGATATCCCTGCTATTCGAAGTACTCGTATCTCAACATGATATCCGATAAGCCAGGGTAAGAAAAAGCACAGTTCCAGATAGTGAAAAGTAAATATTGCATGTATGATAGATGCAATGTGTCACACTCCCACCGGAGCACGGAACGCAATCGATTCGTCAAGACATCAATAGCGAAAAAGAAGGTCGGAAGAGACTATCAATCGGGAGGGGCAGGATGTAGGTAGTATTCTTTTTATGGATTTGTAGTCTTAAAATTTGACTTAAGCGTGGGTTGATATGAAGATGGCTATGCTTAGACTCACACTGAGCGTTAAATATAGTGCGATGTCCTTCCATCATAATATGAGGTTTTCATCCTCGTAGGCCTTCATGAGTTTGGTTGATTGCTTAAGCATGTTGTGTGGTTTGGGGTAAATGGTAACGAAAGCTGCGCTGATCTTTTTACCACTTAATGGTGATAGAAATCATATCTAGAGAATATTACACAGGATCTCTTCAGCCTATATACCTGTGTTGTTGGCTTGTCACTCGGTGGTGGGAATCTTATCTCAATTTCTTTCTGAATCTTCAAAACCTCGGGATACAGGGATACGACGGTGAAACTGTAAGCCAGGCCAATGATTTCCTCATGGTAGACCTTATTGTAATACAGGGCCATGGTCATCAGTAAAACTCATCATTTGCAATACGCGCTTGAAGGATATCGGGATGAGAGTTGGTCAGTGTAGGGCTTGCCATAGAGTTGAGTAACGCCTCAGTAAGAACAGGGTTGGCTGTGGTACTGGACACTCGAGTCAGGCCTTTGGCGACCGGTGATAAGAGCATATCATATCTATGTATAGAGTCATATATAAATTCAGAGTGCATTAAACAAGGTCAGTTGAAATGTTACGCTCGCGTAAATCCCGGGTAATCAAGAGATAGACAATATTATTACCACATCACAAACTCGTATTTACCTGTTTATGCTATATGATATGGTGTCGTTGAATATGAGCCAGTGTGAGCCAGTATGAGCCTGAGTGATCTAGCATGAGCTAACATGAGCCACTATGAGCCATCATGAGTTACCTCCCCGAAGACCCTCACATCTTGTGAGGAGTTGATTGGCGCAACACTAGCGACTTAGACAACTCGGGCGTAGTTTGAGACAGACTTGCAGTAGTGGAGAAGCAGCCGAACGGTCCGATTTGGTGAGTCCCACTACTAGCGTTCCCCGCATAGTAGCATTGATAGTGAGCTGCGTATGCGTAATCAGATTTAGGAGAAACATGTGAAGTAGTTGTTCGAATAGCTAGTGGAGGGATACTAATCAGCGATTTACCGGTGATTTGTTGTAGATCTACACAACGGAAGTAGGGGCCCTACCTTGTATACTCTGTAGAGTACATATTGTACATCTGCATATATCCATAAAGTGTATGGGAAAATAGCACCTATCATTTGTCCTTGGCACTTCACTTTTGAAGATATGGTATTCAGATATCATTCTGTGACCACGCAGCCAGTGGATTCCAGGTGGGTGCGCCTCATTATCCACTGATGACTGACCCGATCTTGGCTTCGGATCATGTTACAACAATGAAGAGCTTAGTAGGCCTTCGATTACAAGCTCTAGAGCCTCGTGGGGAATGGTCATTCCTGCTTCCAATCTTGGATCCACCTAGCAGGTCATACTGCGTAATACGATCATCGGTTTGACAGCTGGTAGCCGGCGGGTATATAGCTATCTCGCGAGACTTGATTGCTTCCTTGTCTTGGCCGGGGTATAAAAGTAAGGGAATTACTGCTTCAAAATGGTGCTCTTTTGCAATCCTCTCTCATCCCTCGCATCATTCTCAGAGACCCCTGGGAAGAACAGCAGCTCCTGTTCGGCTCAAGATCCAGCTGGTAAGTCAGTTAATGCCTAATTATTGCCCTCTACCTCCATACCATGATTAGACACTATTTTGCCGATGTGAATGTCATCTATCAGAGATAATGATCACACCATCCTTTGCTTTGGAAGAGCGACATCGTCTGAGATTATCATCAAGTCTTGCTAGATTCTGTGTATTCGTGACAGTTGAGTCCCAGTGCTAACATTTTGAGTCCTGACTAGGTTCAACGCTGGTTCACGCTCTCGCATAATTTCTACACCCCAAAGAATAAACGTGTTTGCCCCCAAATTCTATTTCCTGTAGATAGCTGTACAGTTCACATAGTCCATATGATATGGTTTGAAGATAGAAGCTGGGCGTCTCTAACATAATGGGCAGCTTCTAGAGATAGAGCACATGTCCAGCAAGCCCTAGCTAGGGTTGAGTGACTCGCTTACTGAAACAGTTATAGAAATGCTGAATCTTATGTCTCTTGAACGACTTTAAAAGGTGGGCATCTATGATACAACAAACTTTTGAAACATTCAAATCAAATGTATGGGCATTTGCCTTCTCTTGTGTTTTTTTCATTAATCTATCTTAAATCTATATATAATTAGAAAAGTAAAAATGAATTTAATATTATCCAGCAGCCGTCCATGCCAGAACCCCGAACTCAGGCCCCTAGCCCTATCCTAACTCTCCACACCACGCTATCAACAGCACCAACACCCGGAATAGTCTCAACAGCAGCACCAAGCTTATGCTCCGCCGCACAGCTTATCGGGGTCCCATTGATAATCAACACACTGCGAGGTATATGCCAATCTACCCAGTCCCCGTGATAAACACCGTCAAAACAGTCGCGTACCTACAGCCAAGACGCGCCGTCAGTAACCGTCCTACCAAAGCACGTACGGATATATTCAAAAGTGCAAAAAGGAACTGAGAGGAAACCCACGCAGACCCCACAATCGCCAAGTCGACCGTCTTCGCTCTGACAAGCCACGACATCATGCACATAAACAGCACGGTGGACACAATGATCACGACCAGACTCGCCGTTTCGCGACCCGCGCCGAACGAGTGGCAGATTACCACGGGCACAAGCAGGAAGACGAGGAGGAGCAGCGCGATCGCCGTGCGCGCGATCTGGCCCAACACGCGGCCGTGGTAGATGAGGATATGAGCGTCGGATGAGATGGAAGAACACATTTTCTTCGGTAGCCAGCATCTTCGATCAGTATGTCTGCTACGTCTTCACTGAACGAGAGAGTTTGGACATGCCTTGTACGGTGCCGCCAAATACGTCTTGAGAAAGTCCTTGATCCAGAGCTCCACGCGAGCCAGTGCGCTGTCTGGCGACTTACAGAGGGCTAACAGGTCGTCGTGGTGACGGGACTGCGTGATATACTCAGTGTAGTGGCGTGCGAGGCAGGGGTTGCCCTCGATCCAGTTGCGGAGGTTGGCGATGTTGCGCTCCTGCGGCGCGGCGAGGGGCTGTATTGTGCGTGCAGTTCTTTCGATGAAGGTATCTATGCATGCTCTTTTTTTCAGTAGGTATGCCTCCTAACAGCATTCGGGTTACGGGAAGCCAGGTGCATAGGGCATACCGTAATCCGACAACGCAACATCAATCTCAGCCAGCACTGCTTTCCGCGCCTCGTTCCGGTCCAGCCGGCTGCTCGACAGGAAAAGAGGATGTTGTTCATTTTGGTCGATATCGCGCAGCTTATCTTCCAATTGCGCTAGCCGGTCTTGTTTATCGAGCAGCAGACGCGTCCGGAGATACGAGAACTGTCGATAGACCTGGAAGGATTCGTGTGAGGCGATTAGGGCTCCGTACCGGGGGCGACCAAGCGGGTAATCCTCGACTGGGTGGATGGGTAGCACGGAACTATCAGGAAGGTAACATGGATAGGGCGTCTGGGCTTACTTTTTGTTGTGCTCGAGGCCTGTCGGCTGGCCTTGATGGTCTCATTTTTGTGGCCGACGTCTGGCTCGGGGCTGGGCGTCTTTTCCAGTTTACTAGCTGGGACCCCACAGCTTTGTGTAGCTCCTGAAGCATGCAGTGGCAGCAAAGTAGACGACATCTTCAAAGGCTGGTCTGTTAAGTCTAGCCTACCCTCTGTGTGGGTTTGTCGGTTTGAGCAGTACGTTTTTCATTGTCGGTGCTGGAAGTGACGATTCGGTACCAGATTTAGTACCAAATTGCTTGATACTCAATCAAAACCAATAGATCATGTGGTGAAATGACGTCTTAGCGGACTTAAGAAGAGGTTCACCTTGTAGGCAGAGGCGCTGCTATCATGTAGCGCGCAAGGCTGACAATCGAGGCGCAGCCACTACTCTGCTAGGCTAGGGAGCGCCTGCAGATGGTGGATGCCCAATGACACCTACGCATTCCTGCCCAGCGGAATAGTGATATCTAGCTCTATCTGAGAAGGACCACATATATATAAAACCCAACAAGGAAGAAAACGGCCAGACAACCTGTTGCTTGCGTCTCTACCTTTCGCCTCTCGATTTTGGTCAATCAGCCATCGACTTCTAGATTCAGCAGATAATGGACACTTGTCAAGTGTGAGACTACGTTGTTTAACTATCTACTTCTATTTTTAGTGCACTCATATCCGCAGAAAGGAAAATAGGCACCATGAGGCACCCGTCGGTTACGACGACCAGGGCCGGGCTTCGATCCTGCCCTACTCGCAGGTAAGACGCTATAATACAAGTGCTGCATCTTCCATAAACTAATATACATAGACGACCCGGTTTTATCCCGGCGATCTGGTCCATGTTTCAGTTAGGCGCTGTCATGACGCGATCGAAACCCATGGACCGTACCTGGTCGAAATGGTGATTTCGGGCAAGTACACGCTATGCATGGATGATGGAACAGAGGTCTCTGTAGACGGGAAGACAGTATTCGAGGAATCGGACCTAGTGGAAGCAGTATAAGTGTTCTCATTCTGGGCACTAAAATTCATGGGGCTGTCGAGGTATATACTACTAGTATATCCAACGGCCGAGTAGTATCCCCTTGCGATCTGTATACTACATTCACTTCATACATATGTGCGTATGGTGATCGTATATATTGCCACTTTTTCTTCACGTTGACGTAAGATTTGGGGAACGGCTTTTATTGATTTTGTCGAGTCTAGCCCCGGACTTTCTCCCCTCGTAGACTGCCCCAGGATACTGCTAAGCTTGGGCAGAAGGAGCGAGTCGAACGAAGTAGGAGTATTCGTGATGATAATCCTGATTATATCGTCGCAGCACCCAGATGAGCGTAGATGTTTCGGCACTGCCATAGCGAATGCCATCTCTGTTGTTCCGGTAAAGTGTAGAGCTGGGTCCACAGGCGGAACGACGTCAAAACAAGTGCCCCCCTCCTCGCCGGACAGATACTGGATCTGCCATGAGGGAGTAAAATTGAGGACTGTCACGTATAGTGTGACAGTTTGGCTTAGATTTGTGACCGTTAGGGTTAGCTCCTCTTGATCTACGACGTCGACTACACCTTCCATGTTATATTTCGCATTCTGTTCATTGCGCATGCTGATGTCAAACAGCGACTGGAAGTCACTATCATGACTGGGTGGCTCAACTGCTTTGTAGTATGAGAATGTTGCAATGTGATCAACTGCTTTGGTCAAAGGGTCCAATTGCTGGATGGGCGGCAGAGGAAGAGCTTTTTTATCGGCGTCGAGGAGCTCATACCCTCTGTTCTTGTCAAATTGTATATAAAGCCCACACTGGTCGGCACTCGTGCGAGCGATGTCTGAGAGACGATTGAAGGGCAGCTGCTGTAGAGCAGTGACAAGGTCAGAGGGCCTGCTGATGGAACGCATAAGACCAACCCGAGTCGAAGCCTGCCGCGAAACTAATTGTGCCTTCCAATGGCTGGCCGTTGCGGTTGACATGGAGATATCAAGTAATTCGATGATTGAAGTGACCGGGCCGACAAACATGACCATAGCCCTGAGGGTCTCGTCTTTCACAGTGCCATCTACGTTCTCACCTGCCCAGAAAGGAGATAGGATATATTCGTCACCCAGGTTGACCCCGTGTGCGTGTCCCGCCTCCAAGACAAGCTGTTGACTGCTGTACGTGGCCGATATATTTGTAGCATGGCCCCCATGCAGGACTTCACCGAAAAAGAAAGCGCCATTGCTTCCATACAGCATCGGGGTTTGTTTTGCCAAATTTTGATGGACCATGCTCACAAGGGCGTTATATATAGTGTGAACGGAGACTTGAGTTGCTCGGGCGAAAAGAGAAGTGAGGATGCCATGCAAGTGATAGGATAACACGCCATACGATAGTCCGTTCAAGCTAACCTCCCTGGCTACTTCATGAGGGCCACAAGCGGTGATGACGAGGTATCCTTCTGGCTTCACCAACCAATTGGGCAATGCTCGTGCATCTCGCAGGCTGTAATGCTGGTGACCTTCCCTGGAACCATTGACTTCTGGATCGGCTGGGATATCAAACGCAAATTCATGCTCCATGCTTCGAATGTTGTCATTAGCGTGCTCGTGCTGACGGTATACATCACCTGAGAAACAGCAGTCAAGTGTCAACGTCACGAAAAGGCCGCGGTCAGTCATTCGCTTCAAGGTATTTGCCAACGCCAGGCCTCGCAGTTCATCGCATTCAGTTGCAGAGTCATTGAGAAAAAGCAGGCCCACGTCGCCACCACTTTTCTTTCCGTACTTTAGTCGAGGCGGCCGTGGAAACCGAGTCCCATGCCCGGAGAAGTGAATGTACACGAAATCCCCGGACACAGCGAGGGCTAGGATCTGGTCTACACAGCGTTTGAGATTCGATAGCGTCGGCCATAGATCGTGTTTCTCTTGCAGTGGTGAGCTTCCTGGGTCTGTGGTCGGAGTCGCTGTAAGCGCTGTCACCTTGATTGGACTCGAGCTAGCTTCGAGATACGCCTTCATCAAGTTAACATCGTTTACGCAGCCCCTCAACGGCTTCGTGGTGTACCCGTTGATGCCGATCAGGATTGCCCAGCGATCAGGCATTGCGCACAGATTCAGAGTGCTTGATATAATGCTAATTCTAGAGGCTGTACTAGGTAACTGCAAGCGTTAGCAAGTAAGCGCTTGGTTAGCGGCATTTTGGCCAACCTCAGCCTCGCTGTCCGGGGGCTGAGCGGGTTCGTGGTTGCATGCCATTGGCCACGACCCCAACAGATGCAAGCAACGAGGCTGGGGTAAAGCCATCTTTGATACTGGCCTATAAGACAAAAGCCTTTTAGACTAGGCGGCTACCTCCGAAACGATATTGAGAGACCAAAAGGAAGAGGGGGTTTAAGCGCCCATCTTTCTCCAGAGTCGTTCCTGTCTCTAATAAAAGGTGATACCCCCCGAAACTGCCTGTCTTAGAGAAGCCTATCATCAAATCTATTAACACCATATGGCTTCCCCTGGTATCGACCCCGAGGTTGCCAATCTACTTGAATCCGCCAGTGACGATGAACTCCTTGCTTTTGCCGAACTATACGAAGATGGCGAGGATGAGACAACCATTCTACTTTCAGTATGTGCTTTGTTCCATGCTTTCAACAGGTTAGGCAACAGCGAATACCTCGTTCGTGCCCGTGCTCGCTCGGAACAGCTATTAGCTATGACGGCCAACGACAGTCCATTTTGGGATGGACGCAACCAGATCTTGTCCGCAATGACGGCGAGGCTAAGTGAACTGGAAGAAGAGCAAGAGCAGATAGCTGACCTGGCCGTCACCATGGGTCTGAATGTCGATGCTGTCGCGAATGAGCCAGTACCGAAGCAGCTGGATCTTTTCATCGAGCATGCGAAAACCCAAGCCGAAGCTGTACCTCAAGGAGACACAAACCGCCGTGACTTGGTGATGCAATACTATATGCTTCTCGAGAGCCGCTATAATGGGACTCGCACGCTGTCCGATCTGGAACAACTCATCCAACTTGGAGAAGAGCTGCTTGAATTGCCCTCCGATGATCCGAAATGGCAGCACGCGTGGCTGATCCAGCTTACCAAATGGAACGGGGAACGATATTTCTTCCATGGGCAACGACGGCCTGAAGACTTCCACCGTGCTGTGGATATGACAAACCGACTTATGGCATCTGCTCCTTCAGAGTTCCGGCTTCAGGCCATGGATAGTGGCGTACAAGGTACCTATGAGGCATTGGCGGCCACCGCCTTGGATGATCCTGATCGCAATTCTTACTTGGTATCTCTCGGAACCTATCTTCTTGCTCGATGTAATGAGACTGGGGCTGTAGAGAATGTAGACCAAGCCATTGAAGCCATGAGCCCGGCATTGGATGACATGGTAGCCGGACACACGGACCAGCTACAGTTCATTGAGGTTTACACGAAGTGTCTTTACAAGCGATTTGCAATGACCCAGACCTTAGATAATCTAGATAGAGCTATAGAACTAGCCAAAGTGGCTTTGAATGGAACTCAATCACCACAGCTCTCCGGCCAGTTGAGTCTCTACCTTGCTGAACGCTTTCGACACACAAGAACAATTGGCGACTTTCATGAAGCTATTGACATTATCAGGGCAACTCTCAGACAGCCAAGAAACGAAGAGACCGAGATGCTTAACCGGCTATTTACTTTCGGAGGTTTTTCGGGGTCTTCGCCTCAGCACAGCGGAAATTCAGATTTAGCAAGACAAGTCATCGACATTCTACAGCAGGCCTTCGAAAACTCGCCAACTGGGCACACCCTGCGACCGTGGTTCCTGCTAATACTAGGTCTTTGGTATGGCAGAAAACATCTGGAAGGGGAGATAGACGATTTCACTCTTGCTGCTTCTACAGTAGAGGAGGCCCTAGCAATCTCTCCCTCTGATAACACTTGTCAAGCTGCATGTTGGAACAGTCTTGGTCAGCTACTGAGCGAGCGATTTGAGCAACTTGGATCATTGGATGACATCGACCAAGCAGTCCAATATGCCAAAAAGGCAAGCGAAAGCGCACCCCATGATCATGTTGAGAGACGACAGGCGGCTTGCAATATTGGAATCTGGACGAACCTGCGAGCTCGAGCGACGGAGTCGTATGAAGATGTTGACGCCGCTGTTGAAGCGCTGAAGGGCGCTGTCAGCTCCATCCATTTTACTGATCATGACTACTACACCTGCTTGTTTTCCCTGATTTTGAGACTAGGCACGAGATACGATACCCGCGGATCACTTCAAGATCTTCACGCTTCAATAGACATACTCTCAAGAGCCTTAGAACACTTGCCTTCCATTGATCGGTACCGCACTACTATACTTGCCACTATCGGTGAGCTTCTGTGCAAACGATACATAAAGATAGGAGCCGTGGAGGATCTTGACCGTGCAATGGAGTTGACTACGATAGTCATGCACGAGTATCCCGCGGGTAGTGAGGAGCATACCATCTGCCTCGCCAATCTTTCCTGGCAGCTTGCTCATCGCCCGGGCACTGGAAACGGGGACCAACTTGACCGTGCCATAGAGGCTGCACGAGCCGCATTCGACGCCACGTCTGATGGAGACAGGTTCTTTTACATACGAGCCGGCATTCTTGCAGAAATGTTTCAGTCCCGCTATGTAAGAGATCGAATAATTGACGACCTCGACGAGGCCGAACTCTTTGCAAATGTCTCAGTAGCCACCGCGCCTTCAGGTGGCAAGGAGAAGGCCTGGAGGCTCTACAGCCTTGCAAATATTCTTCGAGATCGGGCGGTTTTGTCGACCGAATGGGAGGATCTCGACAAGGCCATTGAAACGGCGAGGGAATCGGCGAGCTTGTCGGGGGTGGATGACCGCCTCCGAGCTCTTTTCCTCAAAAACTTGGCAAACTTGCTTGCCGAGAGATATCCAGGATGTATGTCGCCGGCTCATGAAGCCCATGCGTCTATTCTCGGCGTGGTGAAGGCCGGCTGGGATTGTAGTAAGAAAGCCGATCCAAGCACTCGCATTCACCTGGGCCTTACTGCATCTTTCTACATGACAGGCAATGCTGACTGGGTGTCTGCCTGCGCCATCTTGGAGGAGGCTATTCAGCTTGTTCCCCTTCTGAGCCCCAGAATCCTTAGCAACACGGACAAGGAGCTTGGGCTGAGAGAGTTCAGCGGCGTCGCTTCCATTGCCGCCGCCGTGGCCTTGAATGCGGGCAAGAGCCCTGGCCAAGCACTGCAGATGCTTGAGCTCGCTTCTGGAGTCATCACTGGGTTGCTCACGGAGATGAGGTCGAGCACTGACGAGCTCGAGAGGAAGCACCCACAACTAGCAGCAAGGTTCATACAGTTGCGAGACCAACTAGACTCAGACCCAACGTTGACCGATCTATCGTTAGACATTCGTGATCAAAATAGATCCTTGTCGTGTCTGAACACGCGATATGAGCTGGACGAATCACTCAGCGACGTCATCCAACAAATAAGAGGACTCGCTGGATTCGAGAGATTCCTGCTGCCACTGACTCCCGAGGACATGATGACCATCGCGAACCAGGGGCCGGTGGTCGTTCTCAGTGTCAGCGCTCACCGCTGCGATGCCTTCATCATCAAAGCTGACAGTATCGCTGTATTGAATTTGCCGGATCTGAATATAGAGGATGCGCATCGCATGGATGAAGCTTTGACGTCAAATACAGCCTGCGTTCTTGAATGGCTATGGGCTGCCATTGCAGAGCCTGTCTTGAGCTATCTAGAGTACAATCAAACCCCGTCAGATGGTGACTGGCCTCACATATGGTGGATTCCTGGAGGATTCCTCGCGCGGTTTCCTATTCACGCTGCCGGCAACCATGCCAACGGCTCAAAGGAAACTGTCCTCGATAGAGTTGTCTCGTCGTACTCTACCTCCCTCAGAGCCCTTGCCTATGGCCGACGACACCATGTCCGACGCCGCAGTGACACCAAAGCCCAGTACGCACTTCTGGTCGCAATGCCTGAGACACCTGGCCAGTCAGCCCTCCCATTCGCTTCGAAAGAGGTGGACATGCTCCGTGAGCTGTGCCCCTCGCTGCATTTACAGCAGATTGAACTAGCTCAACCCACCAAAGCCCAACTCCTGAAACATCTGAAGGACTGCCAGATTTTTCATTTTGCCGGTCACGGGCTTTCCGACAATGAAGAGCCGTCTGAAAGCTGTCTCCTACTCGAGGACTGGGCCAACAATCGGCTTACTGTAGGGAGTCTCCGCGACCTCAAGCTACAAGAAAACGCACCATTCCTCGCCTACTTATCCGCGTGCTCAACGGGAGCGAATACCGCCAGAAGACTTCAGGATGAAGGAATCCATCTCATCAACTCGTGCCAGCTTGCAGGGTTTCGTCATGTCATTGGCACACTCTGGGAAGTCTCGGACTTTCACTGCGTTGAGATTGCTAGAAGCTTCTACAAATTTATTCGCGATCATGGTATATTAGATCATGCTGTAGCCCTTGGGTTGCACATGGCCATGAGGAAACTACGGGACATGGACAGAGAACCTGTGACGACCAGGTCGCTGGATGACTGTAACGATGAAGACGACTATGGAGGGTTGGATCCGGAATTATGTGCAGGTGGTGTCTCCAGCACATGTGCGGCTGTTAGTATAGTTAAAAGCGAGAGAGACGCAGTCCGCAGGAGACGTCGGAAGAGGGATATGGCGTGGTACTGGGTCCCGTACGTCCACTTTGGAGTATAGATTACTATCTACAGTTCAGTGGATGTGTAATTACAGTGAATGGCCGGCATCCATTCTTTATTTCTGCCCCAGTCTCCTCCCGTTCATCAGGGCATGCTTAATACGCCTCTGACACTTTTACATGGCGGCTACCCAAAGTATTTGACTGGCTGCATCCAGCCCTATCCAAGCGAAAAGCGTCTATTTCCAGGGTTATTATTCGTTAAGTTACATATTCTCATTTGGTGTTCTAGGTACTCCTATGTCTAAATATGGTAATTTCCGCCACCCTGGAGGGCCGAACTATCCCGATGCTTCCCATGAACCACTTGAGTGGGACCCTATCTTGGGGCGGTCTTGCTTCGCCCATTGGAGTTGAGCTTCTCGGAGTTGGGGTGAACATTGTCATCGGTGTGGACCAAGTAGGTCGACCGACTAGTGAGGGTCTAGGGTTCCAGGAGACTTGGGTTAACATGACATGGCTGACGTTCATTAAAGGTACAGGTTCTTGCTTACTCGCGCAGGGACCGTATGGTTCTTGTAGTTCGGACTTTCCTGGATAGCGAATCTCGATGAACGACTGGCTAGGCCATAGGCCACACAAAGACCTTCGTGGATGACATTGGTATATGGTGGCAGTTCAGTTAGCTGATGTCTTTCATTGAAAACAGGGAAAGGGAGAGAGCGTACCAGGTAATGAAGGTTTTCAAGCTGGGTGAGAGGGTACTGGCGCCGCTCACTAGGGGGAAGGATTTCCAACTCTTCATGCAGTTTCTTCTGGACGGATGGTTCCACAGGAGGTAGAATATGATGATAGGGAAGATATGAGGCTTAGCTTCAGTACCAGCTAACATGAAGGCAGTACCGTCGTCAAGACGATGGTAAACGGTCCACTCGCGTGTTGGGATGTGAGGCTCACCCAGCACACCAACAGGTGCAGAGTACTTGGAACCAGGTATTGAACTCTTGAGGATTTCGCCGACTCCCTTTTTATTTACATCATATCACATGATGGGAATACAAGCAACCAGGGGCAAAATCAGGGCGAACAATCCAGTTAGGCATGCTCTCGAGTAAGGTAACCACGCTAGACATATGACCAAGATGGTAGACGCGGGACAAGCCCAAGAAGCCATCTCTGACGACGATGTGGAAGTCGAGTATTCAGAGGTGGCTTAGGTTCTAACCCCCGAAACGACAAGTGATGACATTCACTGTCAAGGCGAAGACTCCACCAGAATCGAGCTCATGTGCTCTTCGAATCAGGTAATACTCTTGGTAATACGTTCGTGAATACTGGGTTCCAAGCCGACGATGGCACGATTTGAAAAGTATGGGTTCGGATAGCCACGGCGTTGGAAACGAAGGTCATGGTCGAGAGTAACAGCAATTGCAGACATTGAATGCTCCGGCAGTGAGAGAATCCTTGCTGGTCTTGCGAGAACTAGCATTGGTGTTGTATAGGACTAGTCTTGGACTTGAATGTCTCTATCGTTCACGCGAACAATTGAAGCCTAGACCGTTGTTAGTCACCCTGTCTTGGAATAGTAAAGACCGAGTCACAAACTATATTTTTTGTGCATTCTCTAGAGTCCAAGAGATATTGGCCATCTTTTGTAACTTCATGGTAAAACTCGACGTCGGGGCCGATAGTAGCCAATTTAAGAGCTTGGATGTTGCACAAGGGGAGGAGAAGATTGCAAAAGCATGTCCAAGGAAAGTAGAGAGCACATATGCCCAGCACTGCGCCGGCGACAGTTGTGTGAGAGAACTTGTTGTTTGGGGGTACTGATGTAGTACATAATCGGCAGATCTCACCACGCCAGGCGACTCCTGATGAGTATAAGAATGTAGGGAAACCGGAAGACTATCCTCTCAATGCGCAGCTTGGATAGATTTAGAGTGCTCGCATATTGTCTGCGAGCAATATTAACCGCTTAAGTATTGTAGGATACTAGATCCCTAACTAGATTGCTTAAAATGAGGTACCCAGGCATGTCTGAAAGCGAAGTTATCTATTTATCCTATCTTCCTGTCTATCTAGCCAGCAATACCGAGTACTCATGCTTGTACTGAGCTTCCATCCACAGTTAGGAGCGGCGTGCGACTATCGTCTCCACATATCCATAATCCGGTCTTTTGAGGCAGGACCGGTCAACTTAACCTTTAGCTGGACTTGAATCATGCTAACACCTCAAGTATACTTTAGTCCAGTAGCCTTTGGCAACAAATCTCGATAGCCTGCTATGGAACGCAACGGGTGCCTTAGAATAACCCACCATGTAGGCCAGCCTGAATAAGAGTGGAACCCGAGTACAGTCCAGAGAGCTAGGGCCACCATACGCAGTTCTACCTTGCAATAGAAATGATACTGCGAAGTAGTCCATTGGCTGAGAAGCTGTAAGGAAGCTTACGCCGGTCTTTCCAATCTTACATAGATCAGATCTGCAAGATTATCAGACATCGCGTACAGAACCCTCCCTGCAATACAGGAGTAGGGAGAGTATTCATTTTTAAGTAATAGATCGGATTTGAATCGTATGGACTCCAGAGTCACATACTTATCATGTACATATGTGTAATTCCAATTCTCCAGCGACTTGGTCTAATTTTGTATATTTAAAGACTTGCTCTTCTGGCGAACATTCATCAAAGTATGTACACTAAAAGTCACAGAAGGTGTTTCCTTTAGCGCCTCAGTTACTCGAAAGCCATGTAAAACCGAACCCCATACAGCTCAGTCATAAACGTAGGATTCCTGATAATCGTTATAAGTGAAGTATCAACACGTCGTGAAAGCCAGATAAAAACCAGCCGTATCTTTAGATCAATCCGAAACTAATCTAGTCCACATTCGACAACAACCCTAGACGTGCTGGGCTTGTGGTCCGGATTGCAAACAGCTGGTCTTCTTCGGCTTAAGTTGTATCGAAAGCGCAAACCGCCGTATTGGGAAGAATATTGAAATTACGCGAGTCATGTTCAGGGCGAAAGAGGATCCGCTAGAATTTTCGCCGATGGATCCTTCGAATATGATCCCTCATGTTATCCATACGGCTAAATAGCCGTGTGCATTGCTCCCCATGTTGATTTCGCCATTGGCACCGAATTTCCGGTTTATGTTTGGCTTCATGCCGGTCTCGATCCTTTCTGGTGGCAAAGCCTCGTGTACTAGAGCTCTGTGAATCAGGAGGCGCTGATTGGGGACAGTTCTCGTAGTGGCAGAAAAATGCCCTAACGTGCTGGCGATAGGGCCGTCGAATATCTCGGGGATTCGCGAAACGCTCAGTCGATTTGTATCCGGGAACTGGACACTTAACATGTGCGAGAGAGATCGAATCAGAAGGTGTGATGTGGCCGAGAAGGAGCTCGGGAGGTGAGTCTCGATAGTGACCGTTGCCTCCAGGGCGGGAAAATATCTGCTCGTCGCGAGAGGGTGACCCTGCGGGCACATCCGGTATACGTGAGGATGATGCGGTGAGTGAGTCTGAGTGGCTTTGGAGAACGGGAAGCCCACAGAGACCTTGAATCTGCGGCTCAGGAAAGCCTTTGAGGCCGGATGTATCCATAATCCATGGCACTGATGGTTCTGCAGGGTTATCAAGGGCGGGAGAATGTATTATCCATGGTGTTGACGGGTTTAAAGTGTGTCCGAGCGCAGAAGCGTCCATCGGCCACTGAACGGGCGTTTCTAGTAGTTCACCGTGACTTGAGGGGTCCATGAACCATTGTAGCGGTGGCTCTGGTAGTGACTCAGGATGGGACCACATAGAAACATTCCGTGAGATGTCGGAGGAGGGGGCTCGGTTGATTAGCGGCAATGTCATCCACTGCTCTTCTTGCACGTTGTGGTTATAGTTCATTGTAAATCCTTGATCTAATCAGCACGGCACTAGGGTTTCATTCTTAGGGCCTTGAGGAACGGCACAAACAGGGATATGCCGGTATATCTATCATAAAGCTCGCAGCGGATTACAGAAGCAACCCCCCTGTACCAAGCTGACTTTGCATCTGCGAGACCAGGGTCCTCTTTTGGCTTAAACTTCATGCAGTAGGCGAATCGCTGAATAAAAGTCTCAGGGGACCGCGTATGACGAACCCCGCGTACATCGTGATCATCAAGGAAGGCGACATCAGTAAAATAATTCTAGATGCTTACGTGGGAAGCTAGCGGCCATGTTAGAATATTGCATTAATGCAAGGTTAAAATGTGAGATTCTCTCGGAAGTCAAATGGAGTCGTCTGGATGCGGGATGTCGTGCCTGATTTCTAGTAGTCAGTCCATCATAGGGCTTCTCGGCTCCCATATCTGAATTAAGACGGTCTCGCTTACTTACGGTAGCATTGAATAAGACACATTGGCGAATACGAAGTGGATACAGGAGTCAATCCTCTCCTTTGAAACAGTTCATATTATGCCAAGCGGGAGTAGTGGTGGCTGGCCTTGTTTCGATAAATTCCACCTTAATATAGCCACTTTGATCTTTATCGTTCATCCAACATGTAGTTCTCTACTCAATCCATCTTCTAGTATAACCGTTTCATATTCACAAATCATTTTTGCAATCTCAGACAAAGCCCTTGTGACATCTCAACCTCTCCGATTAAGGCCTCGAAAACTGCATACCATGGTTAGATTGACACGAGAACACGACGCCAATCAGCGCTACTGCTTACAACTGCAGCTGAAGGCGCCAATCACGAGTTGGGAGTCTCTGGCAACTTTCGACTCAAATGCTACGTCGGATCACCTCTGATTCGTGACCAGGCTACCTCAACCATGTTGCAGAAATAAAGGTCAGCAAAAGAAATATAGGATGCTGCGTCTGACCTACCCGATTATATTATTCATATTCTTGGCCAATACGACCTATGTCGCGCTTTTGAACGCACTGCCTGTTCGATGCTGTTCGAGACCAGCATGGCGCTTCAAGCCTGGTGGATACAAATGCCCAAAGCAGCCTGGTTCTTCGTCGAGATGAATTGATCGCGTGGAAGTGGTAAGCTAATGATCCCTGCATATATGGATGTTCGACGGAGCATCTCGCTCTGACGATTTCCATCTTTCCCGATTTAGGTGCACTACAGTTGCGGTTTCTTTCTATACTGACGTGACGGCTACTCAATGACCAGTATCCGTGCCTTTTATGATATCAAAACACAGGTCTTGCCATACATACATACTAATATGAAAACCCTCTCTACCCACATTTACTGTTCATGGTCTCTAAATCAAAAAATCTAGTTTACAGCAACAAGTCGGTTAAGCTTAGAGTCGCCATACTTCCAGCTAATATTGGCAAGATCTTGCATCGACGAACATTATTCTCAACGTGACTTCATTACAATAAAAGCACAATACACAGAACTCCAGCAGCTGATCTGACATGTGTAACTGACCTATCCCCCGGGTTTTCTGCCATAGACAAAATACAATTGCCCATACTGATGCACCGTGGTATCGAACAACTCCTTCCTCGCCCCCGCCATCAAAACCTCAACCTCGTCCGCCCCCCACTTCAGAATACTCTGCAAGAACTCCGGAACATAAGACTGAATGCCCTGCATCTGCTGTGCCTGAAAGTACTTCCCAATCTCCTTCTGTTTCTTATCCAACGGCCACGGACTAACGGGCACTTTGATAATCTTGCAGGTCACATCCTCGAACCCCTCCTTGGTCATTCTATCCGCCCACTCGTCCATATTCGCCATTGGCTTCCCAAATTTGGCACTGGCTTCTTGGATTAACGAGCACATTTTCGTGGTGTATGGTGCTCGCTCGAGTGAGTCGTCGTCCGCGTATACTTCGATGCGGAAGCTCTGCATCTCCAGGTACCCCCCCGGTTTTAGGTGTTTGAAAGCTTGTCGGAAGAGTCGGTCAAAGTTGCTGACTGCGCCTGCTAGCTCGCGACCGTGGATGTAGTCGAAGGGCCGTGAATAGACCCAGTCTGCTTCGTAGTCGTCGATTTCAAATTGGAGGTTTGGGGGTATCCTTCAGGCTCATTACGGGGTTAAAGGTCGGTACCTTCTTTGATTAATATGGACGAGGGAATTCCTTACCAGGTCGGTTGAATGGGACTGAGGTCGTTTCCTATGGTGGTCAATCACTGGCTTTTAACATGCAGACAGCAACATACCTAATACTTCCGCAGATTTATACTGACTATGATCCGAACATGGATGAGCGAAATCTGACCCAAGAAAAGTTCCATAAGTCTGAATACGCACTCAGCAAAATCCATCGCCCAAATCCCAGTACCCGTTCCTAAATCGAGGACTCGCTCCGGATGAGATTTGATCGGCGCCATATGTAGCTCCCCATCGAGGATCAGGGCATATATGTGATGGAGGAGGTCCATACGGTCCTGCTCCTCCTCGTCGTTTGGCTGGACCTTTCTAAGCCATCTTGCCTGGTTCGAAAATGTGGATGCAACTCATAGTACCATTAAATATGCGCCTGAGCGGTAGGCGTGATATCTTCGGCCATTCTGCGCTCATTTATCTTTCGTTTCGGAGATCGTTGGTGTCTTCTCTTGCGCAGGTCTTACCTTGTACCTGTGTATGCTGCTGTTAGTGTGCATCTGGGGATATACCAGTGATATTGGCTAGAATAGGGATATACCCACTCATAATTCAGAACACTCGACGCCAACGTAGTTACATCTAGCGATGCCTCGTCCGCCGAGGCCCAGTCGCTGTCCGAAGCTGGGGATGAATCCTGCGAAGCAACAACTTAGGGTTAATATGGACACAAAGTTCAGGAAAGTCACAGCTAATCAATCACCTCTATATCGCCAACCATGAGAGGCTTAAATCACGATACCACAAACCCGTAGTGTTGCCCACCATACAAAGACAATTGAGGGTAGTTGGTGGGGGAAATGAGCACGTCCATTCACGGGGACCCTGGACTGACCATACGATCGCGAACAAAAGTACGGCATTCGAATCCCGAGGCAAGACATGGAACCTAGCGGGATCTGCTCTCCATTTACGAAGTACAAACAAAGAGATCTGGCAAACTTTATTCGCTGATGTCGCTTCCGCAAACCAGCGTTCGTGGAGCCCTGCAAGCTGCCAACCCTAACCTTGCCATGACAACTGCATGAAGGGATGATTTACCCAATCAGTTCTCCCCCTTGCTTGGGTGACATGAGGAATTAGTTCCTTTGTTACCCCTTTGGCCTAAGTGGTTCGGTTTACTAATGGCTATTAGTGTTCAAGTCTCAACGGCTGCTCTTCCTAAGGGCTGGTCTGGTTGGATTTGGTGGGGTTGTGGTCATGGTTTGGGGTTTCTTGGTTGTTGTAGGGCTTTCTTTGGTGTCGTGCTTCTCTGGGCTGTCGCTCCATGGGTTATTGGGATATGCCAGTGGCAGTTCAAATCTGACTCTCGGTATATAAGTATTCTGCTACATGAAATATCTCTATGTAAGATACATATCTATACTCATATCTCATCGTCCAGTATTGTTATCGGTGGGGTCTGAATGCGAGCCCTGGTTCTCACTTCTCAGACGGAACTCCCGTCTCCAAAATATGGTGTGCTAGACACCAACAAAATTTATGATCAAACTCCATGAAAACAAAACATAGAAGACTACTTGTCCATACCGAAAACAAGTATGTCAATAGCAAAGGCCTCATATCGTCCGAGGAGAAAAGTGTCGAGACACCAATCGGATCTGCATAAATCGGATAAGTTATGCATACACAACACATCCTGACTAATCTGCATAACACCGCCTTTCCATCCATCCCGATAAGCATACAATCAATCATCACCAATCTTCAACTTCTTCCTCAGCCACCACTGGCTCAGACATTGGTCTCCAACCGGAGCGCCAGCAAGCAGCTCCAAACGAGCCCAGAAAAGCAACCACTTGTAATTTCCGAAACACAGATACCATAAAAACCACCCAAAATGCAGGGCTTCAGTACGACATACCCCCTCCGCAAACCCCCTCCCAGCAAACAAAAAACTGACCCAACAATCTAGACATGGGACGATACGTCCCCCCAGACCAAGAAGGCCTAATGAGCGGCAACCAACTCGCCAAAAAACACCCGCTCGGTTCTCGCGCCCGCCACCTCCACACGACCGGTGCCCTGACCGTGCGCTTCGAAATGCCCTTCGCCGTCTGGTGCACGACATGTAAACCCCACGAGACGATCATCGGCCAAGGGGTGCGCTTCAATGCCGAGAAAAAGAAGATTGGGAACTACCACTCGACGCCGATTTACAGTTTCCGGATGAGGCATCCCGCGTGCGGGGGATGGATTGAGATTCGGACGGATCCGAAGAATACGGCGTATGTGGTTGCGGAAGGGGGCAGGAAGAGGGATACTGGGGAGGATAAGAGGGAGGGTGGGGTTGGGGAGATTGTGGTGAAGTTGCCTGGGGAGAAGGAGGAGGTTGTTGATCCGTTTGCGCGATTGGAGGGGAAGGTTGAGGACAAGAAGGTGGTTGATGAGGGGCGGACGAGGATTTTGGAGCTGCAGGAGCGTCAGGCGAGGGACTGGGTTGACCCATATGAGATGTCGAGGCGGCTGAGGAAGACATTTCGGACGGAGAGGAGGGTCTTGGAAAAGGCCGAGGCGAAAAGGGAGGCGTTGAAGGACAAGATGAGCCTGGGGATTGAGATTGTTGATGAGACGGAGGAGGATCGGTTGCGGGCTGGTTTGGTCGATTTTGCTACTGGGAGTGATACGACTGCTGTGCGCACCCGACCAATGTTTGAGTCTAGGGGGGTGTCAACGGAGAAGAAGCTTGCTGGTGCATCAACTGGGAAGACAAAGGACGGGAAACGGAAGAAGGCGGCAGATGTCGTCGCAGAACGCAAAGCAATGTTTCGCAGCGAGTTAACTGGGAATACCCGCGCGGTCGTTGATCCTTTTCTAAGCCATGAGGGAAGCCTGTGGCAGCCAGAGGTTAAACGGCGCAAAACTGCACCGAACAAAGCAGGCATGGATAAGACAGACAACCAGAATATAAGCAGTACGGCAAGTGAAGATCGAGCATCCTCTACATCGAAAGAGCATTCAACCGAAGTGACTGAAACCGCCGGCAAGACACCAGAACCGCCGGCTGCTTTGGTGGCTTATGCTTCGGATTCGGAGTAATCTTGTCCTTACTGGGTTTTTCCATCTTTGGCGTTCGGTGATAAAAATGATACCCCATCGCATTGCAGTTCTTTTATTTACATTGTCATGGAAGCAAAATGCTATGCATCATGTACACTATCCCAGATGTGATTGGACTATGTATACCTAAAGAATAAGGGTATGTATGTTATATCATATAGACACGAAGTAGCAGCAACCTTTTGTCAAATCACTTGATGTCTTCATATTATTTTGCCCAAGGAGCTTTGGTAGTGATGTCATTGGAATCACCAGTAGGGGCCGGCCCAACTGGTTGCGAACTCGCCCAGGGAGCTCTGGTAGGAGCCATTGGACCTGGAGGTAGTCTGGAGGTATCGGGAAGCGCCGACGGGATTCTAGGCGTAGTAGATGGCCCTCCACCAGCTCTTGCAGTCGCCCATGGCGCTGCAGTTCCGGTTGATGGTGGTGGGGCATTCTGAGATGCGGTGGCCCAAGGAGCTTTCGTTCCCGGGCCCGGGTCTTGTCGTGCAGTTGGAGGTACTTGTCGTGGCCGAGTTTCTGGTCCGGATGAGGTATGAATTCTAGACGGCGGAGGAATAGCGCTGGGGTCGCGGTCCCAGCTGAACAGCGAACCAAAGCGAAAGTGTTGGACCACCGGGAACTTGGAGAGCACTTCGGCGTTGTACATTTTGATCATACCCTGCAATCGTCAGTCGATAAATTTAGACAGTAGCGAGATGTGTTGACCTTGTTGATCTTGGCCCAGCCAGCCTGGACACCAGAGATATTATACAGCATCTGACTATGCTCCCAGAATGGACCTTTCTTCACATCGTTGATAAAACCGATGGCGGAGAAATACATGTTAACTTTCCGCTCTTTCTCGACAATGTTCGCTTTCGTGACACCATCAGGGTTAACCGCATCTGGCAGGGAACCCGTCTCCGGCACTAGGTCCGAGTTCGATATAGCTGGACCCAGCTGCGCCGAGCCAAAGATATAAGGAATAAACGAGTGATCATCCAGGCCCCAGACGCCATGGGAGCCGGCGGGTTCCAACTTATACTTTTTGATAACGGCCCGTATAAGTTCCAGGTACCTAGACCGCTTATAAATCAGTCATAATCAGAACTAGCATAAGAGAGATAGACGCACGGCTCTATTACTCCCAGAACAATTGTTCTCTCCTCGACTCCAGGGGCATTCTTCGGGAAACCATTCAGCTTCCAGATCGCCCCGAGAAAGGTTAGAAAGCTTAGTTCGTGTCCAGTTCCATAATCCATTCGCTCGCGGCTACCCCAGCTTCCCAGGAAGTATTCCGTCAGCTCCGCCTCTGCGGTTGGACCGTCTGGGTCCGACGACCGGGCGTGCAGGATATCCGCCGGTAGACACTCTGCCAGGAGACTTGGGGTCTCTTTTTTCACCTTATCATGCCAAACTTGGAACGCACCGTTTGCATACCGCCACTCGCCGGGCATCAGAGGTGTAGCATCCAATAAATCTTCGATCTTCGACAAAAGCTGTTGCAGCTGCCGGACAGGAGCAGAAAATCCGACTGCTTCGGTATTCAAAGGCCACGTCTGTACACGTCCATCCGGTAATTTAGTTGGAAACATAGATCGATTCAGTTGCAAAAGGAAGGTCATAATATCCACATAAGCTTTGGAGCATAAAAACTCGGAGACATCATCAGTCTCGTTAATCCTCTTGCTGGGCTCGAGGAACGTGTGCCCCTCTGAGGGGTCGATGGTGGGCAGCACACGAGCTGGTAAGCCATCTGCCGCCATTGTGGGTTACTGTGGGTAATATGAGCTCAAGATTAATATTTTTGAGCTTTACTCCCAAGCTGTATCTGTGTGACTATGTTTAGGTGACCAGCATCAATCATGCCAGCAGTACATGATCGAAGATGTTGTTCTATCGGTGATGACGAAATTTATCCGAGTTAGTGTTAGTGCTTGCTCGGCACCTGATCTACCGGGTCTTATCAGATTTAATTAAATTTATTTAAATTAAATTTATACAATTTTCTTGAATATTAGTAGTCAGTAGTTGCCTCCTACGTGACCGACCATCCACTGCCTTAAAAGCCATTGTGAGCAGTGAATTCACTCGACTACTCCCTTTGTCTTTGCCTGGGTCATGTTTTCTGTATTAAGAGGTCATTGTTTACTTTTTTAAGTGTCCCTCTATTAACTAATAGATATTCTAATTCTCTTAGGTAAAGTATTCCAGATAAGTAGGCTTCCGACTTGGTTCCCTTCTCAACCGATGCCCAAGATCGTCCATTGTAAGCCCTAAAAGATCCATCAAGCCCTCTAGACCTCTGTCTCCCTCCCATGTTGCGAGATCAACATTTGCACCCGAGTCCAGCAATGTAGCAGCAGCAGCAGCACCGTTGCTAAGCAGTAGTTTCACGACTGCCTCATGTCTATACTCTAATGCTAATAGCAATGGTGTCCGGCCGTATTTCATGTCTACCGAATCGATCGCAGCACCTTTTTCAATCAGCAACCGTGCAATTGTCTCCCGTCCATGATATGCGGCCCATATCAGCGGGGTCCATCCATATGTAGCATCCACCGTATCCACTGCAGCGCCTTTATCAATCAAGACCCTTGCTATTGCCTCATGATCCTCCGCTACCGCCCATAACAGTGGGGTGCGGCCATATTTATGATCTAATGAGTCCACAGCGGCATTTTTGGCAAGAAGTAATTTGACTATCTTCTCAAATCCACTTAGTGCCGCATATAGTAAAGGAGTCCGACCGTATGGATCCTTCACATCCACCGCAGCACCACTGTCAAGCAGGCAGCTCACTATTCTTTCGAACCCGCCATGAGCGGCGATTAAGAGTGGCGTTTCCCCAAACCCATTCTTGGCATCCACTGGTGCGCCTCTCTCCAGGAGTAGTCTCACTGCGACCTCACATTCATATTCCACAGCATATGACAGCGGTGTATTTTTGTACTCATCATTTACGTCCACTGCGGCTCCGTGATGGATCAGCAGCTCTGCTATCCATTCGTGTTTGGACCTAAGAGCGAGCAAAAGAGGCGTCATGCCGTCCAAACCTTGCGGGTCAATTGAGACGTCTTTCTCGATAAGGAGTTTCACTATCGGCTTATACCCAAGCTTTGCGGCCCAGGATAATGGCGTATAGCCTATTATATCCCTCGAGTCAATGTCATCAACCACCGTCAAAGGAAGCATAATGCGGTGTATGCCAAAGAAAGCTGCTATATGAGCCGAGGTGACTGCACTGTGCAGCGCACGGTCTTTGTGATGACCTGTATACATTTCCCTGTACAGTAGAGACAAGCTCGCATTATTGAGCACCTGTGCCATGCTGAGGTACTCTTTGGCGAGCTCTAAAGGTGTGTCTGGTAAGTGCTCGCTCCGTCGCAGGTGATGGCCCCATTTCGTAGCGGCATAGGACAGGAGCGTGATACCCATAGAGTCATCTGCAGTCTCATCTGGAAAATTTAGAAAGGTAAGACAAGTACGTGCAATTTGACTATGCCATTCTTCTTTGCTAAGCCCGAACATCCTGCTTTGTTGATTGAGATACTCTTGAAAAGAATAATGGACCAAGCGTACAGTATGAGTTTCTGGGTCAATTACCACCAGTCCATGGCAGCAGCTTAAAAGCGTACTTCTTACCGGTATGCCTCTTGGGTTAAAGGCTTTATCACCGTCTTCGATCGCGAGGGAGCATAGAAGTTCATTGACGCTGACAGGTCGCTCCGCTAAATAAACCCAAGCAATGATCGCTTTTGCCTTCGCTGAATGTGCAACTGGTTGTTGCTCTATTCGAGCGACGGTACCAGAGAATGCATCGCTGAGATTAGATGGCAACGTTTTCAAAGCTTCCTCACGACGACGCATAGTGGCGGCCTGGAGAACAGCGTGCACTTGCAATACGGGTAACAGAAAACTGATGAAACATCATCAGTACTGCAAAGAGTCATGAAGTCAAGCCCACTTACATTCCCTTAGCCGATGCGAGGACTTTACTCTGAATCTCGACTCTTAATTTCTCGTCCATTGCATCGGGCTCAATGTCGTTGGGCCCACCGATCTCACGATCAATGAATTGTCGAATATCGTCTTCGTGTGCTTCAATGGGGATCTCTTGTCTCTGTTGAAGGTATCTTTGAACAGTTTGCCGGATATGGGGACGGCCGGTGATGAACAACTGCATAGAAGGCCTCCCTTGTAAACACTCTAAAAGAGTACCTAGTTCCTTCAATTCATCCAATGCATCGATACAGATATAAACTTTGCTAAAATGCCTGCAAACTACATCTAGGAGCATCTGCGCGCTGCGCAAGCTCAGCAATGCTTCCTGCTTTGTCTCTTTCTCGTGTAGCTCCAGAAGAGTTTGTGGAATCTCCGGTAAGAGCAGTAATAGCTGCTTTACGATAGCCCCAAGAATATTCTCAGTTGTCTGGAGCTTATGGTCACGATAATCACCGTATAAGTATGCTAGTCCAGTAGTTGAGTCGGTTGTTATCGGCCCCCTTATTCGGTCAATCACGACAGAGCTGTTCCGGATTGTCAACTCATGGGATCAACAAAACACCGTTGCTATTTATTACTCACGATATAATCGTTTTACCAGCACCCGGATTACCAAAACAGCATAGGGCCTGGGAGCTAGGACTTTCACCGAACCAATCTAGGAACCTAGGATCCTCAAGAATCCATACACTAGTCCCTTCCACTCGCACTCTCTGGTTCTCGGAATGCCTACCAGAGTGGCTGAGGGGAGAGAGCCACCTGAATAGATCTTTCTGTTCTTGATCTCGAGTGAGGCCCTTGACAATTGCTTTGATCTCTGAGACTGCGTAGACAAGTTAGCAAAGTTTGCTCGAGGAAATTATGAAGTCAGCGCCCTTAGCTATGAGTGAAATGACCTATCTACATTATGTTGAGGATGAGCTGCTACTTCATATTGGAAAACATTGAGAAGAAAGAACCCTCGGTAAGACATGGAAAAGCTACAACTCACTGTTATCCATAACAATACTGCGAGCTTCTGGTGTGTTTTGGATATCCGAAGCGTCGGTAACCTGAAGAAGCTCTTTTGCATACGCAGCAGCAGTAGCCGCAGCATACTTCTGCCATCGATCATTTTTATGGGTATCGCAATAGTCACAGATTCCACGAATGACGAGACAAGGAAATTGGTTCATCAATCCGGCGGCTTCCATTTCAAAACAAAGACAGTTCTTTGCTAACAGATCACGCACCTTCACATCTTTGATGACTTTGTTACCAGATGCGATAGTGCCATAGTGGATGTAAGGATCTTGGTCCAGTCGTTCAGGTCGTTTGATTTCCTTCTCAGGATCACATCCCCCACAATCTTTTGCGCCCTTCTCATGCATACAATCAGAGCAGAATAGCCGATCATGATCTGCACCTTGGTATATATATGCCGGTCCTCTGCGTGGATCTGCCATTGCCGGATAAGTCGTATACATGGACTCTAGTATATCGGGTATCGATGTGCCTCCCATCATTTCATGGTTGCTTTGAAGCTCACCCATCGCATTGAGAAGGGCATCAGGAGGGCAGTTCAGTGCACTACATTCTTCGAACCCGTGTGTAGTGACCTTGCCGCAATCATATTGCCTTACGCCCCCAAAGGCGCCTGTAGGTTGACTGACCACAACATCACCGAGTCGGATATCGTGCTCATCACTCGGGATACCACCGCCAATGCCAACCATTAGCCCGAACTTTATACTGGGGAAACTAGAAAGCATCTGGTTAGCAGACGTAGCCGCAGTTATAGTTCCATATCGACCAGAGGGAAGGCTAGCAATAACCACGTTATGTTCCCCATTTGGTCCATCTATGGAGCCTAACGTATAGCTATTATGATCTTGGGCGTGTTTTTGCCGCGGCGGCGCATGTACTGTGTCAAGCATTGCCTTGGCAGCTGCTCTTTCATGAGGCAAGGCAGCGATCCAGCCGACGGCATACTCGGAATTGTCCAGTTGTGGTAATGGATGGCCCATCGCTATTCCTGTATATCATAGAAATCCGCCAGAAGGCAGTAGTTCGGTGTAGTTGGCGTTTGGATATTTTGTTGGCCTATTAAACAACGATTCAATGCTTTGGCTACAGACAGGTTCATCAATTGCCTCAGTACTTATAGCCGCTAGTAATGCTTGACCCTGATTCTATTCAGAAATCCTATAACGAGTCGTGACTTATGCCCAATGCCTCGCATGTTTTGTATTCGCCCTATCAGGCCGTTAAAATAGCCGCCGAGCCCCCAGGAAACCCCGCCGAATTTCTCAGCCCCGCCAGACTCATGGCGCGGAGTACTGCATACATTCTCTATCCATTCTAATAAATCTCAAGAGACATAAGAGAACAGCTCTATGGTTTGATTTAGAATAGCAGAAGCCCAGTACACAGCCACAATTGGGCTATACATAAGACAAGAAGCAAGATCGAACTACTCACGGTCAATCAGTGTAGGCACTCAATAAAGATACCTACTAGTATGTGACAGTTCAGAAAAAAGCAGTCGATTCGGGAAACGAGCTATTCCTTAGAGTAGGTATAGGCTTAACTATCAGAGAAGCCTTTGGTTAAGGAATTAAATGACCTGTTAGATCTAGCCCTAAAGGCTCGTTCTACCCGGCAGCATCATGGACACCCATAGTTTAGTTCACTATATTGGAAATTGCGACAGGTAGTTCAATCAAAGATTTACTTTGGCTTTATAATTCACAAGGAAAGAATAATCTTTCTCAGTGAAGTACTGTTGCTATTTTCGCCTTTTTTCTCCTTGAGCTCGGTTGTCTCTCACCACTACTTTTTAAGTGATGGATGTAATATATAAACTCGCAGCGGGTAGATAAAAATCTCCGGATCGTAATAGATGTTCCTCTATTCTTAGTATAAATTTCTTTAATTCAAGAGATAACCAGTCTCCAATGAATCTTGAGGACATTAAATCATAATATCCAGAGGATAAGTAAGACTATAAATTGGTATGCCTGAGTCTAAGATCATGTGCAAGTAGTTGTCATTGTCACTGCCGCAGCGTTTGTTTTTCCGCTCACCATCAATTGTTTGTTTTGTGACACAGGTCGATTCACCCAACGACCTCAGGTCGTCGTCGCTCCCCTTCTCCTCCAAATCATCACAAATGTCCTCACTGGCCAAAGACCAATCCAAATGAGCTCACGATCAACTCCACGACGAAGAAAAGTCGTCTCGACGTCCCACGCACTGGACCTTCTAAACAACTTGAGCGCCAACAACGTCACCCACGAGCCGAAGTCCAGCACTCCGTCTCCTTACCGCCCCCGCTCGTCGCGTCGTCGAGAGATTGACGACGTCCAGGTTCCCCAAAGTGATACTATCTGGGACGTCCCCAATGAGCCCGATGATGACCGATCCGCCCCATCCAGACGCGTTCTATTGTCGGAGCCCTTAACTCCCCGCAGATCGTCCCGGTTGCAGGTGAAATCTGGTAGTAGGACCACACCCTCTCGGAATGCAAAACATCGCGCAAATTTGAAGATTAGTGGAAAAGATGACCAAGAGGTGGAGTCGGGTCCCGAGCCTGAGCGCGAGTCTGGAGAGGGCTCGGATGATCGTCCTGACGAAGCGGCGGCGGAGGAATACACCGGTCCGGTTGAGGAAGATCAGGAGAATGGTGAAAGTGACGCGAGTTATGTGGCTGTTGTGGAGGGCCACGGAGACAATGAGTTTCCCCAACCTGTGCTCGATTCGCCTCATAACGTCCCTCAGTCAAACCGACTGTCTCCATTTGATATTCAGAAACGGGTGTCAGCTCTAAGCGCGGATCTACACAGAGAAACCGATGAGAGTGGCGATAGATCGAAAGGCCAGTCGCATAATGAGCCTGAAAGTGAATATGGAACACCGCACGATCAGCAGCCAGAACAAGCAGATGAGCCGCACCCTGGTTCTGATAATGCTTCCAGTGCACACGGACAACAGAGAAGCTCTCCCGCCGTCGTGATCGTAAATCCTGCTACGGGCGTCAGGAGCTCTGTGGACAGGGTAGAATCGCCAGTCCGTTCGCTAGAGTCTCCTAGGAGGAATACCCCATCGGAGGACATCTCGCAACCTTCGCGTGTGCAAGCAGAATCAGCGGACTTGGCTGATGAAGTGGAGCTTTATGAGGCGGAAGATGAGAGCGTCGGGGTAGACCCCACCAACATCGCCGTTGAGGACAAGTCTTCCGTTTATATTCCAACCGATGATGAGGCGGAAGATGAGAGCGTCGGAGCAGACCACACAAACATCACCGTCGAGGGCGAATCGTCTGTTCGTATTCCAACAGACGATGAGGGCAGCGTGAGAGATCGCCCCACACGACCCGGATTGTTTAGGTATGAAAGCGACCCAGAGGACCTGTATACGCCGCCAAGCAAGAGACGTCAAACCTCGAATCAACAGCTAGTCTCAGAACATCAAAGACGGAATCGTGAAAGAAGTCTTGCGACGTCTCGAGCTGTCGACTCTGTGAACTCTCACGAAGACCAGACTGAGTCTCTACAACCCCGTCAGAGTCCAAACGACATCGAGCAACATGTTGAGGACATTTCTGAGGATGATGCCGAGGATGACTCCGACGAGGAGGCATGGTTGCACCAGGCCCTTAAAATGGCTGGCCAGAAGAATAACTGGGACACCCTGGTGGTTCAAGCTCACCGCGTCACAAAGACTGGTAACCCTTCTATGGCCGAATACTTTGATGATTTCGTGGATCTAACTTCCACGTTGCAAGCGAAATATGTGGAGATTGTAGGTAACCTAGACGCCCGACGTGAGCCTCGCGGCGCGATGGTGCGCGAATGCGATGAGCTCCTTAGCGCAATTTACAGTGATGGGACCTCCTCGGTGGACTATATCGTTGAACATAAAAACGACAAACCAGAACGAGGCCAACCGAGCAGTGAAGAGACGCTGGACGAATTTGAGGCATGTCTCGTATCAGGAATGATGGGTGTGTTGCTCGCCTGTTTCGAAGCCTACTGCAAGGCAGACGGGCTCTTCCCCAAAGCCTCCGAACACCTGCACCGGGTGCTGGAAGTGTTTCTACAACTATGCTACAAGATATACTGTGTAGTAGATACGGGTTACATAGACTCCGAAAACCAGAGCCGTAGCCTTCAGCTCCCGCTCAAAAAACTCATCACCGCGTTAAAGAAGGACTTATTTAAGGGCAGTGCGCCACAACCGGAACCTGTGCCAACCATGTCCATCAAGCATGGGAGACCATGGACCGATGACGAGGGGTATGCCCTTATAGATGGATTGCAGCGCTACCAGGGTAAGTCTATCTGCATCCACATGGGCCCGAATGCTCACGACTTTTCAGGTCGGGATCGCTATGCTCGAATTTTGGAACATTTCGGGGAACGGCTCCGCGGGCGGACGATCCGGGGTACGCGCGACAAGGCGAGGCAGTTGCATGATAAGCTTCTCTCAACCGTTGTCGCTCCGGACGTCCTCCAGACGGAAGAAGGACGGCAACAGTGGTACTGGCTTCTGAGTGTGCGAAAGGAGTGATTTCTTCTCCTTTTCTTTTTTTGCTTTTCCTTTTTCCAATGATGTAGGGCGGGCGTTTCATGGTTGATGTTTTATACCCCTCTGGTTTATTGTGATTTATTTTCTCTGGAGCATTCTTGAGTTCCGTAAAGCCAAAACCACGGCCTCTTCATTGCGGTGTGAACCATGGAACCACTGTTTTGGAGTTTTGGAGACGCGACCACGTCAACAATAGTTTATCCCTAAGGGCCAGGCGAGCCAATCCAAAGGTTTCATGAGGACACAATCGTGGCTCAACGGTGAACTCTTTATCAATTAAGTTCATGACATGGTGAAATGGCTGGTCGCATGACAGAAAGTTCATCACCGCCTGATGGATCGATTGGGCGATCCTGTGGGGATCGACGCCTGAGGCCGTGGGCGTGGAGTGGGAGTCCCTGAGACCTGAGGCACCCGCTCCCGCTTTCCCCCTCCTGACTTTCTTTACTTCAATACTTTTTGGTCCCTTTTTCCCGGACTTACTTGAACTTACTCTTTCTCCCGCATCAACTTTTTTTTTTTTTGAGACTTCTCAACATCTACCACCTCATTTCACCCTTCCCCCCCCCTCCCCGCTTTATTCCTTTTCTTGTACCATTTTAATTTGATTAATAGTATATTCTCTTTAATTCCCTTCTGTTCTTCTCACCTTCTCCGTGCGGTGTGGGTGGGTTATTTTGTCTCTTTGTTTGCATCGTCACTTTCGGGATAAAGGACAAACCACGCGTCTGAGACTTTCCAACGCCCGCGCTGCAAGGTACCGACTCGGCGAGTCCCTGTACCTTCTTCCCGGTCTCTTTCAATTGACGGTCCAGTACATTGTTGAGTAAGTGCTTGAATTGTTTTGTTTTATCTTCAGGGGAACCTCGGCCGGACTGAAAAGGAGAACCGCCCCGAGTGACCTTCACCGCCGCTGTGTCGACCAGAATCATGGATTGTCTCTCTGCATGCCATATGCACCTAACCTTCGCAAAAACCTGCATTGCGGGGAGCTTCTGGTTGAGCATTGCATGGGTTTATAACCCAATCACCAAGTTTGTTGGTTGCCCACCGAGACTAACGTGGACTGTCTCAATTCGCTAGACCGCCATTGAAGACCCCATCACGGGTTCCGTACCTGACTTGCTACCGACCCTGGAAACAATTCCCAACTCCCACCCACTCGCCATGGCTTCTACTGCGGAATCTGTCCCGGTTGCCGCCCCCGTCGAGGTCGATTCCGAAAATGCACCCCCCGCGACCCCAATTGAGTCGACCGTCATGTCCGGCAGCGAGGGACCTCTGACCAGCCCGGACGTCTCCAAGGACAAAGAGAATACCAAGGCCTCGCCGGTGAAGAGCCGCCCAACCTCGACGACCGCCACCAAGCAGCCAGTCTCGGGAACAACGACAAAAAGGCCCAGCTCCATGTCAGGCCCGCCGAAGACCACGTCCACTTCCCGTGCATCGGTGAATGGCAGCACCTTGAGCAAGCCTCCTACCCGCCCGGCGACTACCTCGACCGTCCGGAAGCCCCTGAGCACATCCACAACGGCCTCGCACCGATCTCGTGCCTCGATCAGTAGCTCCGCCGATGAGAAATCCCGAGGCGCTGTAAGCTCTTCCGATGAGAAGCGGGGCATCTCCGGTACGGCGAAGCGTATGTCTCTCGTCGGGACCCCGACCACCCGGGCACCGCGGCCGAGCTCCATTCACGACCGGCGGTCGAGCATTGCAAGCACCACAACTGCTGAGAAGAGGAGCTCTGTGTCCTCGGTATCGCGTACCAGCACCGCTTCGGCGAGGACCGCGACGAAGCCTACGACTACGTCGACTGCTCGCCCTTCGACTTCCTCGACGAGTGCTACACGGACCGTCGCCCGGCCCTCAACGGCCACCCGGCCCACGTCGACTGCTACGAAGAGGTTGAGCACAGTCACCAAGACCTCGGAGGAGGACGCGGAAAAACTGAACGCCCTTCAGAGTAAGCTGTCCGAAAGTGAGACGACCGTGACCGGCCTGAAAGCCGAGTTAGACGCAGTGAATGAGAAGCTGGCCCAGCTGTCAGTGTCTCAGACTGAGGACAGCGCCAAGGACCAAGAAGAGGCCCTCAAGACCCTTCGGGAACAGCACGCAGCCGAGCTTGAACGGCTGGCCGCAGACCATGCGGAGCAATTGCAAGCCTTGCGGGTCCAGCTGGAAGAGGCCGAGGCGATGCGGAAAGAGTTGGAAGAGAAGTCTCTGAAGGATCTGGATGAAGCGGCCAAATCCGCCTCTGCCCAAGGAGACGACCAGACTGCTGCAGCCTTGGAGGAGCTAAAGGCGTCCCATCAAGCGCAACTGGAGGCCCTGGAGAAGGAGCTCGCGGAGCAGAAAGCTTCCACTGCGGCATATGCGGAGCAGATCGAGTCTCTGAAGGCGGAATTAGAATTACAGAAAGCCAACCTGGAAACGGCCACCAAAGGATTCCAGGAGGAGAAAGCCTTGGCCCTGGATAGCCTGGAGCGGGAACTGAACGGCCGTGATCAAGTGATCGCCAATCTGAACATCGAGATGCAGAAGTTAAATCAAGCCAAGGAAGATGGAGTTCGCGCAGCGGAGGAGTCTGCCAAACAGGCGGTTTCCACCCTCGAGGAACAGGTTGCGTCTCTGACGGCCAAGCTCGCCGAGGCGGAGTCGGCTGCGAAGGGTCATGAGGAAACGCCTGACGTTGTCGCTGAAAAAGTCAAGGAAATCGCGGAGCTGAAGGAGGCTATGAAGAAGATGGAGGCCGAATTCCTGGAGACACGCGAGTCCGCCGCAAATGCGCGGGATGAGAAGATCAAGGAGTTGGAAGCGGCCCATGAAGCTGCTGTCGCGAAACTCAAGGCGGAGCATGATGAAGCCCTGGCCTCCGCATCCACGGCCCACGCCCAAGAACTCGCGGTTGCCAAGGAAGCTGTCGAATCGGCCGGTACCACTCATTCCCAGCAGCTCCAGGAACTTCGGGATGCACTGGAGGCTGCAGAAGCTGCGGCAAAGAAGGGCCGGGAAGAGGCTGCCAGCGAACGAGATGTCGCTCACCAGGCGGAGCTGCAGGCCCTTCAGCAAAAACTGGAAGCGGCAGAGCAGGCTCTCAGCGAAGCACGACAAGCCGCGGAGGAGAGTGCTCACTCCGCCCAGGCCGTTGCTGTTCAAGAAATTGAGGAACTCAAAGAGAAGGTTGGCGCGTTGGAGTCCCAACTATCGACCGAACAAGACGCAATCAAGTCTCTCCATGATGAGGTTCACAGCAAACGGCAAGAGGCCGAGGCGCTGCAGCAAAGCCTCGTTGAATTCGAGAGTAAAACCAAGGCTAAGGATACCGAGCAAGAAAGCCAGCTGAGAGCGCTTGAGGAGAAGGCCGCCGCAGCTGAGAAGGCGCTTGAAGAGCACCTGAAAGAAGCTTCTGCCAATGCCGACAAACACTCCCAGGCCCTTGAGGAGAAGGCCGCTGTGGCCGAGAAGGCACTGGAGGAGCACCTCAAGGCGGCGGCTGCTACTGCGGACAAACACACCCAGGTCCTGGAAGAGTTGAAGGCGCAACACGCGGCCGAGCTGGAGAAGGCCAAGGCAGACGCCGCTGGATCCCATAACGAAGCTCTCAGCGAAGTCCAGGCCAAGCTCGATGCACTGTCGTCCACCAACCGCGAGCTGGAGACCAGCCACGCGCAGAAGATTGAGACTCTCGAGGCGGAGCTCAAGGCCACCCTTGAACGCCACGCCGGTGAGCTTGCCTCCCACACCGCGGCTCACGAAACGGACCTGGCTGCTCTCCAGAAGGAGTATAGTGAGACTAAGGCTCAGTTGCACGCCGAGCTGGAAGCTCTTCGGGAGTCTAAGGCTGCGGAGACTGAGGCCGAGCACAGCAAGGCCATTGAAGAACTCCTTACTGTTCACGAAGAGAAGCTCTCTAGCGTCCGAGCTGATCTTGAATCCTCCAACAAGGCTAAGGTTGAAGAGCTTCAGAAATCACACGAGGCGGCTCTTGCGGAGGTTCATGAGCAGCTTTCTCACGCGCAGGCAGCTGCCCAGGATAGCTCTGTCTTGGATGCCTTGAAGGCCACCGTGGCAGACATGGAGAAGAAGCTGTCCGCTGCTGAGCAATCCGTTGCGGAGTCGAAAGAGATCGCTAGCAAGCAGGGTGCTGAGCTTTCCAAGCTCGAGGCCGAGAAGAACGAGTGGGAGCAGAAGCACCAGGCCGTGAGCAGCCAGGTGAAGAAGCTCGAAGAGCTTGCGGCGGCTTCTGCCAGCTCCAAGTCGGAAGTCGAGACCGTGCAGCAGCAGCTGTCTGCGTCTCTGGAGGAGCTGTCACAGGCCAAGAGCAAGCAGGAGGCCATCCACATTGAACTGGACGAGCTGAGGACGCAGAACCGGGCGATGGACGCGAAGCTCATCCAAGGCGAGAGGGACCTGAACGATCAAATTGACAAGAACATGTCGTTGCTCAACCAGTTGGGCGAAGTCGATTCGGCGATCTCGAGCAGCCGCAAGCGCATTCGTGAGCTCGAGGCTGAAGTGGCGGCCTTGAAGGCCGAGGGCAAGGGCGCAGGGCTTGAGAGCAGCCGGTGGGCGGCCGAAGGCGAAAAGGCCCCTGCTGGAGGAGACGCAGGTCCGGCCGCAGCGGAAGGTGAGGACCTTGGTTCATCCATTGAGGGAACGGTGGGACCTCCCCGTTTATCATCGACCTGCCCTTCAGAAATCCCCGATTATCACCCCTTCACGTAACATGGTCCGTTCCCTCGGCAGACAGGAATACTAATTGGACGGTTCTTGCAGATAGCAAGCATTCAGGAACAGCTTAAGCACATCCGCACGGCCAACGACGACTGGTACGACGAGCACCAACGGTAGGCTGGACCTCCTTTGTCTTTTGAGGGTTTCAACTAATCCAGGGTTAGACTCATTCGGGAGCTTGCCTCAGTGTCGCAACGCGCCACACCTGATCGGAGCCCCGCGATGACTCCACAGCCGGAGAGGTCAAGCAGCAGTTCGGATGACAATCAGGCTGTCGAAGGAGCGTCGAGGTAATCGACATGGTTGGTGACCGAGGTTACGCATGACCTCGACGTATCTTTCCTTTGTATCTGATTGGATTATCGGTTCTTCTTGTATGAACTATAGCAGTTGTATGTAATAAGAGCTCAGGATACCCCTGTTTAGCCTCCGCTGTGATCGCCGCTCATGCAGGTTTTATTTTATTGTGGACTGGACCCCGACTGGGACTGGACAGCGAACGATGCGTTGTTCAAAGAACTCCATGAGGCGTTGGTCTTAGGCCGCAAGCGTTTTTCCATTTTTTTTTTTTTTATTTTTATTTTCTTTGTTTTTTCTTATGTGTGCAGTCATGGGTCACAGATTAATGTAGTGTACTATATCAGACATGTCTACCGTGTCAAGAGAGAGAGAGAGGGAGAGAGAGACAAAAAGGAAGAACCAGTATGATATTTTTTTACTTATTTGATTAAAGTCCCGCTGACATTCATCCTCTCCATGGGTATCAATCGCAATGTAGGAGACACGCATATTGTAGTAACACATAAGATATAGGGAGAGAGAAACGAAATAATTAAAAAAAAAAGAAAAAAAAAAGTAAAAGGAATGGACAGAATATTACATCGAGTAAGTAGTAGAATCTCACCTCGACCGGCGCAAAGAAAGCCACAGCGCTCGAACCGGTCCCCAAAAGCCCTTCTGCTTCTGCTTCAGGTCATTACTCTTCTCCCTCTCCATCCGATTCGTCTCCGCATACCTGGCCGGCGTCAGGATGCGAGGTGGCGGCGACACTGGTGACCCCGCCGTCAAAGGACTATACCCATAGTGACCGATCGGCGTAAATCGCAACAGCTGATCCGCCGGAACAGTTTCCGAGCTCTCGTGTCGCCCCAGTCGATCATCTTGGTTCTGGAGAAACGTGTACGTCCCCCTCGTGTTCGTGGTCTTGCCGCCCTGTTGTTCCCCACCATGATCTGCGCATGTCGTCGGGTTGTGGTCCCTGGGCTCGGATGTTTCCTTTCTCGGGCTTTGTTCGTCGAAGTCTGAGAATAGATTCTCATCATAGCCTGGTTCATGGTCTTGTGCATGGCCATGGTCATGACCATGACCATGCTCAGGATAAGACGACCCGTACCCATCATCATCCTCATACCCATGAGAATAGGCATTAGTAGGATTCCCCTGAGAATGAGAATAAGGACCCGTAGTCCTCCCCTCACTAAAAGCCCAACACCAAGCCGCATAATCATCCTCCGTCCTTCTTCTCCCCTCCTCCTCATCAGTTAGATCCGCCTCATTGAGATCCCTATCACGACTAGAACCAGTATGATTAGGCAGTCTCTGTCGAGATATCTTCCTCGAAACCCATCTCGTCAGATTGGTTAATGTTGGACGGCGGGTGAGTGTTGGTTGTTGTTGTTGTTGTTGGTTATGGGTGTTGTTCTGCTTGGAAGAGAGTGAATTTGTAGAGATTGAGGTCGTGAAGCTGGATAGGGATGATGTGGTGGTCGTGTTGTTGTCGTTGGAGGGGAGAATTTTGATGGGAGGCATGTTGTGGGTTTCTTTTCTGTGGTTTGGTTGGAGTTGAATTGAATTGGGTGGGTTTTGTTGTTTATTCGGTGTAAAGTGTAGTGTGGTGTGTATATGAATGAGTATAGGTATAGGGTAGAGAAATAAAAAAGACGTAAGGAGTCACCATGTCTAATTACTCCAGCGAAAAGAAGAAGAGCAATTAAATATAAAAGTTAGACCAACTGAGGGATACGTCGTAGTCTAGTCTCAGACATGCATTTGAGGGAGAGCAAGTTGGCTACTATGGTCAATCATTTAATAAATAAGACCAGATAGATAGATAGATAGATCCATATATAAAGGAAATCCCAATTCGAGATAAGAACGGTTTCTCCCGAGAAAAGAAAATAAAAAATACAATAACATTACCAAAAAAAAAAAAACCGTTGCTTCACCGTTCAAGGACCGGGTCTTTTTTTTTCAGAATGAGGTGGGAAACTATGACTAGTGATTTTTATTTGGATTCATGATAACGAGAAAACACATGCAGCTAAGATGTTGTAAATTGTGGTAGCCAAGGGATGCATGCCGAGGCTGTTGGTCGTAAACACTGGCGCCCGTTAATGTCTTTTTGTCTTTCTTTCTTTTCCTGACGCGGTCAGCAGACGTAAGATAAGTCAGTTTTTGAGACTTGGGAATTACTGGAGAAGGTAGGACGAAAGTGAGACATGGGTATTATTATTGTTGTTCGAGGAATAGTGAGTTAGGTTAGGTTAGTCTAGTAGTCTTTTAGTATTTACAGGATGTTATATTGCATATTCCTGCATGAGTTTAGCCCGAGACTCCATCCCGGCCCAACCCCCATCGTCCGACTTCCCGCATGGCTTCGTCGCCGCCTTCTGCCAGTCGTCCATTGGCGTTGGCCGCGTTGGTGCTTCCCAACACACCTGCCACGCAATCCCATCCGTTACGTCCACCACCCCAGCGGAGCACTTCGTTCTTGTATCGCTCGCCGGCCTCGCGATCCACCGCCGCTTTGCCCGCCTGGAAGACGTCCTCCCAGATCTTGTTGGCGATCGCCCGGTCGAAGATATAACTGTAGTAGGTCGCGCCGTAGCCATAGAGATGACCGAAGAACCCTTGCCACGAGGTGGGCGGCCGGCTGTCCGTCGGATCGGGTAGGGTCGAGTGGGCCGACGAGACCTGGTGGTAGATCGCCGTGCTGTCAATCTGGCCGGCCTTGTCGGCCGGGATCGAGTGGTATGCCTGGTCCACCAGCGCCATGAGGATCTGGGCCTCGTTCTCCACCGCACCGTAGATCGAACCGTGGGCCAGGCGATCCTTCTCCATGCTCAACATCATACTCTCGGACAGTGGTTGGTCGGTCTGCCAATGGCGGGCGTACATGGAGAGCACCGCGGGCTCGGTAGCAAACCGCTCCATGAGAACCGACGGTAATTCGGCGAAATCGGTCGCGCACCGTGTCCCGGAAATCGACTGCAACCGAGTCTGTCCCAAAATGGAATGCAGCGCATGACCCATCTCGTGGAACAGCGTCCGGACACTGTGTTCGCTGAGCAACGACGGGCGCCCCGCGCCGGTCGCTGGCGGCTCCGCGAAGTCACACACCAATGCGATCGTCGGCAGCTGTCGGAGGGTCTTCGATTGCGGATCAACCGCCGTGGCCATCCCATCGTTGGGGTGTGCCGAGTGATCCATGGTGGCACACTCCGCCACTTCTTCCGAGGAGATCTCCCGAGCGCATCGCAAGGTGAAATGAGCAGGGTTGGGATGTTTGTTAGGTCGAGAGAACAGGTCACAGTAGATCACTGCAATATGTCTGTCGGCTTCGTCGACGACGTCCAATCGACGCACGTCTGGGTTCCACGTCTCACCTGCAGCTGTCTCCTGCGGCACGAGCCGGACACCATAAAGGCGGTCATAAAGCCGCGACAACCCTTGCATCACCGTACCCAACGAGAAGAACTCGGGCACAGCACTCAGCTCACGCGACCGCCGGGACTGCGAATATTGCAGGACGCGTTGATGAACATAGTAGGCGTGGTCCCACGGCTGCAATGGGGACGCTCCCTTCATCGCCTGTAACTTGGACAGTTCTTCCTGGACATATTCGCGGTTGCTGCCCACCAACGCCGTCAGAAAGTTGGAAACCGCCTCGGGGCTTTTGGCCATTTTATCGCTGAGCGTCATATGGCCGAAGCTGGAGTGGCCCGACAGCTGGGCGAGCTCCGCCCGTTTGCTGAGCAGTTCCTCCAATCGATGGAGCTGGCGCGAGCTGGATGTTCGGGTCGCCAAATAAACATCTCTGCGAACACCCTCGTCGTGAACTGACCGCAACGCTAGCCGTGGGATCATACCCGTTGTCGGAACCGACGCGGTACGATTCCATCGTCTGATCTGCTGGACAAGAATCGGGTCCAGGCCCCGCAGACTATTGGCGCCTACCACCACTTGCGATTTGGCGGGCTCGGCGCTATTAACAAAGTTTGACCCGAGCTGACTGATGTCGTTCGATAGGTTCACGAATCGCTGTCTCTCGTTTGGTGGCATGTGAATAGCGGAATTGGAGAAATCCTTAATCAGAATCTGCGCCACAATCTTCTCCTCCTCCGACCAGTGCGAAGTCACATCCGGATTGCTGGCCGCCTTCTTTAGCTGATCGTTGAGCCCTGTGGTCGTATTCAGAACATTCATGTACTCGAACATTAGCGCATACGCCTGCGTAGCTGCCTCCTGCACGCGCGGGTCAGGGTGAATAACTCTGATAAAATCTGACAGGTCGATCACTCGGCAGAGAAGATCACTCAGCCGGTCAAGATCCCGAGCCATGTCCCGATATTCTTCCAGCGTGGATGCGGAAAGGACTTTGGAGACGATTGCTTGACATCTCTGTAGGGAGACATTGGCAAAGGCGCGAAATCCATCGGGGTTGGTCAAGTATTGGTTCTGAACTAATCCGGTGGGCTTGGATTGGGTGGCGCTCCGCTGCGAAAACTCTCGCCAGAACGGTTGCGAATCGAACACTCGTCGAAGGGTTTCGTCGGCAGTCTTTTTCTGGGTGGAATGGTTCGTGGGGGCGTAATCGTATACATCCGACTGGGAGGAGGGCGACGCGGCTGTTTCCAAGGATCGACGAGGTTGCTGCAGTCGCTGCAGACATGCCCGACAGGTCCATGGCCGACGCCGGAGCGGCATCAGCATGTGTCCTGCCATTGGAGCGAAGGAAGCTCAGTTCAGCATGGATGTTGTAAAGATGATAGTCAAAACTCCAAGAGTCACCAGCGCGGAATTGTCCGAAAGTAAAGTAGATCTTAAATAATTCAAGAGAGGGGAGGAAAGAAAGAGGGGGAAATGGGAGGAAAATCAAGGTGAGAGTCTCAAGAGAATCAAAAGTAAAGGCCGGACGATGACGGAGGAACAGCCGAACGCCCGCCGAAAAAAAGTCTTGGCGTAGTCACGCTTTCCCGTGAACTTCAACAAGCCCTCAGACGACCTTCAAATCACTCCCCGTCTTGTTCTTCCGTCCATTGGCCTCGCGCAGCATGTCCTTTCGGCCGATGTTCCAGCAGGTAGACTCCCTGGCCCTTCCGTAATCTAATTTAAGTATTTCTGGTTCGGTACTGACGCCGTTTAGCGGGCTGTGGCCCCCATCGCTGCCACTCTTTTGGCTGGAGGTGTAGCCTTCTATCCCCGGCGAACCGCCTTTGCTGAGGAGCCTAAGAATGCTGTATGATCTGACCGAAGCGTCTCTAGACTAGAAGAGATCTAGTCCATACGTTCCAAGAGTCTCATTCTAATCATTGCGATTCGTGCAGAGGAAACCTATCTATGATGACTTCCCGGCCGATATCCCGGAACCCACGAAGACCCTTCCTCCTGCTCCTCCCAAGTCGTCCCCATCCTCCTCCTCGTCCCCTACTCCTACAGATATCTTGACGGCTCAGGTCCGGCACGCCCGTCTTTTCCTCTACGAAAACTCCCTCGCCGCTGAGAACTGCTTCAACGACTTCCTGTCCCGGGCCCTCCACATCGAGAACGCTTTCACCAACACCATCGCTTCGTTGGCCCCGTCGCCCGAGTCCGGTGAGCGTCTCCTCCCCGGTGGCGCCTATGTCATCGTCTCTGCCATGGCCGGCTCTATTGTGTCCCGCAACCGTGGTATCTTCCTGCGCACCGCCTCTCCGCTCGCGTTCGGTACCGTGGCCGCCTGGTCCCTCCTGCCCGTGACGATGCGCAACATCTCCGACCTGGTGTGGGAGTACGAGAAGAAGGTCCCCGCTGTTGCCGAGCAGCACCTCTACCTCCGTGAACGGGCTGAGCATATCTGGTCTACTGGCGTGGCGCACAGCGGCATGGCGCGGGCCATGATGGAAGATAAAATCGGAGAGACTCGCAAGAAGCTGGAGGAGCTGGTCAGCAAGGGTCACTAGATTATTCCCTTTTCAATCTGTCTCTCCTCCTTTGTTCGGTTGTTTTCCTTGTAGCGGATGCCATTTGAAGCCTGTGCTGCGACTATCGGCTTGGATGGCTTAAATTCCATTGCATATGTGTACTTTAAACAGTTAGATTCAAAGACTCCCTGTTCGGCACATTTCGCCTCGTATCTAAAATTCGGTGTAGTAGAAAGGGGTGCGCAGCATCGCTGTGAAAGATTGACTGAAATTGGGAATCCATCAATTGGTATATCATACCCCACTCGACCATCGTAACTCCGGAGACTCATGATACTCTACAAACAAGAAACTCTACGATCGGAATACCTAGTCATCAGGCAATCCGCTTCCCTACTCCGTCGCCGGCGCGGGGCTTCCTGACGACGACGGCGGCGGCGGCGACCGAATTCCTTTTGGCGGAGGAGGTAGCGGCGTTCCCTTCCGTGACGGAGCGTAGTCCTGCTCTTTACTCTTCTGTTCACCCTCGGCAAAATACTCATCAAATGCCCGATTAGGCGAAACGGCGTATTGGCGGGTCTTGCCACGGCGCGCAGCAGGTGATGGGCCAGGCGCTGGTGACCCAGAAAGGCTTCGTGGCGCCTGCGACGCCAAGGGAGGCGGCGCTGTCATATTGGCCGGAACCAGAAAATGACCGCCAGCGGTTGCACCAGGTCCGACACCCTGGCCCTGTGTCGGATTCATCGGATCCAGGACGGGAGTGGAGGTGCCATCCGCACGCGTTTCAAATACTACCTCGCCAGGGCCTTCCACCTCCTCACCCAACCCAACGGGCAGTCTGTGTAATGCACCGTAGCCTAGTTCGGCTCCTAATGCGCCCTCACCACCCCAGCCTCGGGTGGGCACCAATTCAACCTCGCGTACTACGTCGAATTCGCTGTTGTACACCCACAACACCAGTGTTCGGTCCAGGTGGTCCTCCACCAATTCTCCCAGTGCGGATTCTCCCCGTAACGTCCCACTAGGCGTTCCAATAATGTAGTCTGAGTGTGGGAGTAACCCTGCCCGGTATGCTGGACTGAGCGGTGACGGGATGTTCAACACATGCCAGATATGTTGTGTCGAGGAAAGAGGCGCAAGCTGCAATGCGAGGCCCAGCGTAGGATTGGATGGGGAGATTGGGATAGAGACGGTGTGTGTCTTCTGACCCTATACACAACCATATTGGTCAGAATAAGATGTAGTATGGCAAGATTTGGACAGAGCCCACCTTCGCACTCCAAACTTCGAATGTCACATTGGAGCCGGCGCAATTACGAACTTCTGTAGCGAACAGATTCGGGTCCGGATAGTCCTGACCATAGTATGGTTAGTATATCACTTCGAACCAGAGATAACGTATCTGCACCCACAATCAGACGCCCATTAATGCCAACAATGAAGTCAAACCATGGCTCTAGGGGAAGTTCCGGGTCCTTGTTGCGAAGTACTTGGAATCCAAATGCATTATCGTTGGTGGTAGCTCGAGGCTGCTGGACCGGTTCGCCGTCCAGGTGGCCGATAAAGCGGTTCAGAACTCCGAACATGATCGGCCGTTGTTAGAAAAGTTTATATGGTGAGGTGTATTAACCTGAGTATAACTCCGAGTTCTGGTTGCTGTAAACACGATCGCATTGTGGAGAGCTGCTGCCCAGTTGCAAACCAGACAAACACTCACGTTATCAACTTATCAGCATCATGATTATTTATCGCGCTTTTCTAGATTTCTATATGAGAATCCGACAGGAGTTCGAATGATGGCATGTGATAAGTAAATCGTACACTGTCTTGGTGATATCAAATTTGCATCTTTTCCACTTCAGCCATGTCTGGAGATCATATGACAGAGGAAGCTCCTCCGGAGGTTCACCATTACAACGATATCGGAGAAGTTCCTTGGGATATCCAGAAGTATGCGATTACTGCCAATTCACCCCAGCATAGAATATCCGGATACAGACCTAACTCTGTGCAGTTATTGGGCCCAGCGCTATAAGATCTTCTCCAAGTATGATGAGGGGGTATGGCTAACAGATGATGCATGGTTTGGCGTTACGCCTGAGCCTGTTGCTAAGTGAGTGGATGATTCCTTGTCTTTCGATTTATGGTGGACTAAGATCATCTTTACAGTGAGATAGCTGAGCATATTGCCAGTGCTGCTCCCCCGTCTCGCATGGTCCTAGTTGATGCATTTGCTGGAGCCGGCGGGAATACCATCGCCTTTGCGCGATCGGGTCGCTGGAAACGTGTTTATGGCATTGAGAAGAATCCGGCTGTCCTGCTGTGCGCGAAACACAATGCCAAGATATATGGAGTCGAAGATAAAATCACTTGGTTCGAGGGTGACAGTCTTCAGATCGTGAACAACCAACTCAAGGACCTGGGTCCATATAGTGTTCTGTTTGCGAGCCCTCCATGGGGTGGTATGTTCTCAATTCCTCTTACTTGTTGAAGATTTCGAAGATGCTTACACATATACAGGCCCTGGGTATCGCTCTGACAAAGTGTTCAATCTGAGCACAATGGAACCCTATTCCTTGGCTACATTATACAACGAGTATGCTTTGTTTACGGAGCATATAGCCCTCTATCTTCCTCGGACGTCAAACGTGAAGCAGCTCGCGAAACTAGTCAAGGATGGCGAAAAAGCAACAGTGATGCATTATTGTATGGAAGGCGCTAGCAAGGCGCTGTGCATCTATTACGGCGGGTTCAACCTCCAATAACTCAAATTCTGCTCTTCGTGGCTTGGCCTCAACATTTGGTAATATTCTCTTAGTAGAGGGTCTAATCGATAAGCCTGAAGAGGAGACAGCCGCCCAATTTGAGATTGGCATAAGGTGCGATCTTCGTAGATCCATCAGCTTTTGATTGGCCCTCGAAATCTTCGAACCCTTATCAATAAGCACCGGCTCCGGACAAAGTTAGCAATGAGCTATAGCGCGGTGTACAGCAAGAAATCGCTTCGAAGGTGGTTCAATTCGAATGATGTTTATAAAATTTGTGCCACAGGTAGGTTCATTATGAGTGTCTCCAGGCGTCGACTTTTATCGGTGTCGTCTCGGACATGAGTTGGACAAATGGCAAATTTTCCAGAGGTTCATTGGGACAATCCTCAAGAGTTATAGCGTCACGTGGCCTAATTCATATAATTTAGGCCAAACAAAAATTTTTCTACTCATGGCGATTCAGAACTATCGCTGTTATCGAGACAAAGATACGATTTTACAATGGATCAGAGGTTTGAGATAATAATAATGTAATTTGAGCAAATTTGGGTATCATAAAATCTCCAAATCCCGATCATATCACCAGCATCGAAGTAAAAAAAAAAAACGGAATCGAACACCTTTCAGACCTCCTCAACACCCACCAAATCTGACCGACCGAAGTCAAGACATCAAGACAAGGTAAAGATCATCACCACTCCCTGGACGAAAGGCACTCGAACAAGCTTGCCGAAGCAAGTCGTTCGCAGATACCAACCGTCGAGGCGGGAGTAAACACGGCTTCACTTTAGGGCATTGAGGACATAGAAGTCATCAGCAAGGGTGGAGATTCTGTAGCTCTTTAGAAGAGTTCAGAGGTGGGACGTCTACTCTAAAGTGATTCTTTGAACTGTAGGCAGAGATGTTAGCAGTCATTCTTGGTGTTTAATTTTGTTCTGAGATTCCCAAGGTAGGGAGGGGATGAACTTACGTAGAGTCGCTTGATTTTCGAAATGAATGGGAATTCGCCGGTATTTATACTCGACGGGTGGCGCTAGTGGGAAGCGAGGTCATGTGTGTTTGGGTCTACATCCGGTAATATTTACGTACGGAGTATGCTCATGAGAGTAGCCATGAAACAGCGCGATAAACATGATGAAAGGATAGTCGATTACTTTGGCTATAGGTAGAGTATAAGAAAAATAAATGGAAGGTGCCAGCGAGAATAGCGAATGAGGATATCTTAACTAATTCCCAGCTAATGGGGGAGTGCTAATCACGAGGCCAAAGAACATGATGTCTGCGTGCCTCAGGCTACTGGAAGATTGACTCTTGATCAGTTATGCATAATATATACCTACCGAGGACTTTTGTACGAAGAATCACGATGAGATATTTCCAGTTAAATCAAGATCTTTATAAGCAAATATAGAAATTATTTAATATCCTAAGAGTTATCAAAGACCTCTACTGTATGAATATGCTCCGTGTTGTGAGGATTGTCGAGTGTGATATAGAATAACTGGCCAACAGAATGAACCAAGACGTGGCCTGAGTCCATGATCCATCCAGATCCGCTAACCTTCAATTAGTCAATTACCTAAATTTTTGGCCCCACCAGTATGTTCCACGTGACCTGTTCTCTGAAAGGGAAGTGAATCGGAGATAGTATTACTCCGTAGATAAGCTACAGCGGACCGAGCTGCTTTGCCGCGAAACCAGCTTCAACCTTCGCAATTCACTACGGCCCGCGGACACAAGAAACCTGACAGCCGGTTGGATTTACGCGCAGTCACCATCGTTCTCCATGTGCGCCCCTTCATAACGTCCAGTTGTCCGAGCATCCGCCGACTATCGACCTGTCCCTCTCGCTCTGTTATTTCACCGGAAGATTTGGTCGTTTGATCCTCTCGACTTGCTACCTTCAATATGCCTCACGCTACCGATCTCCCGGCACCTGATGCCGAAGATGCCGACTTCGAAAGTGTTATGCGCCAGATGAATGGACCCCTCGCAGATGGCGGCATGTCGTTCGATTTCTTACAGCGGGACTTGGAACCTGGCGAGAAAGCAGACGACGCGGTGGACTACGAGGATTTCGATGACGATGAGCTTCCTGAAGAAGAGGAGAGGGCGCAAGCTCCCGCAGAAAATGGAGAGGCAGCTATGGATGAGGACAAAGGCTTGTTTGAAGCGGAGGAAGAAGATCTTTTCGGCGACCAGGGAGACGAGACACAACCACAACCAGAAGGTGACGATGAGCTCGATGACCTCTTTGGTGAGGGTCCCGCGTCTCCTGCTCAAGATCATGCCGATGCCACCCGTGATTTGTTCGAGGAGGACGAGCAGCCTCAACCTGCGCCGGAGACGGTTGAGACACCTGCTCCCGAGCCGGAACCCATGGCCATGGAAGAAGACGAGGATATTTTGGACGACGAGGACATAGGGACGGTGGCTGAGGACATGGACCCAGCGGCTCTGCGAGCATGGAAGTTACAACAAGCTCTATTTGCCATGTCCACTGTCGGTCCCGACAATCCACCCGCACCACCGGAAAACGTCGAAGAACTTCTACACTCACTGTTCCCCAAATTTGATCGCAAAACACTTCCTCGCTTTCTCGAACTTATCCCCCACAAAAAAGCTTTCTTTCTCGGCAAGCAGCCTCCGAAGCCCCCCAAACCTGTGCTCCCCAGCAAAGTCAACATCGAGCTTGCTCAAGATCAGGAGAGAGCCTTTAAATCAGGCGGTCAGGTGTTGAAGCGCTCGTTGGAGTCGGAGCATCTGGGAGTAGTGGCTGTTGCCGAGGCTACACCGGAGGAGGAAGAGGAAGAAGAGGTTAAAGAAGACTTCGACCTCGACACAGATACCGATGAGGCTCTGCCGGGGGATGTTACGTTGAATGATCTTCGCGTTGTTTGTATGGATTGGGATGTCAAGAGCGATATTTCTATCATGGATGTTGACGAACCTAATGCTCAAGAGGTGATAGAGGATGCTGAAGATGACTGGCTTCTAGAGACTACCCGTCCAGTGAAAAAGCGCAAGCTTGGCAGAGACCCGGCGGAATTGATAGCTTTCTCTCATATAGACGTGCCATTGATTGATGATCCCGAGCGAGCAACATCGCGTATCGCGCAAAAGGTGACAGTGGACATGAATGACCCTCACATCCTCCTCGACGAACGGGGACCCGAATCTTCGACACAGAAACCGAAGGCCATTGGGGCTCTTAATCGGGATGAAATGGATGTTAATGTTACTCGCCGCCTCACCTCACGCTATAACATATCAAATGATCAAGCATACGACATGCTGAAACAAAACCACCAGAACAAGGTCCGAAGCACGTTGGGCAATGTCACTCTCGAGCACAGTATGCCGGCTCTTCGTTTGCAATGGCCATATTACAAGACCGAGCTTGCCAAAGCGGAGGCTCGGTCGTTTCATCGCCCAGCTTTATCCTTCCGGCCCGGTCAGACTTGTTGGTTCAAAAACTCTACATACATCAAACGCAAGCATCAAAGGGGCAAGGATGTCAAGACTCTGTACAATTCTACCAGGGCATTGTCTCTTGGCGACAACTCCACGGCCTTACTGGTGGAGTATTCTGAGGAGGTCCCCGTCATGCTGTCGAACTTTGGCATGTCTAATCGAATTATTAATTACTATCGTCGGAAAAATATGGACGACCCCACTCGTCCAAAAGCAGAAATTGGTGAAACAGCGGTTCTTCTCCCTCAGGATAAGAGCCCTTTCTCCATTTTTGGCCATGTCGACCCGGGTGAGATTACCCCGGCTATCTCCAACTCGATGTATCGGGCTCCGCTGTTCCAGCATGAGACCAAGCCAACAGATTTCTTAATTATACGCAGTAGCACTGGTTCTGGAGGCAGTGATTATTTTATCAGGAACATTGAAAATCTGTTTGTCGCCGGTCAACAGCTCCCATCGGTAGATGTTCCTGGCCCTCACTCACGAAAGGTCACCACTGTTGCAAAGAATCGCATGAAGATGCTCGTGTATCGCCTATTGAAGAAGAGTCCTGATCTGCGACTTTCGATCAGCGACGTCACCGCTCACATCCCTGGAACCAGCGATATGCAGAACCGCCAGAAGGTCAAAGACTTCCTCCAACATGACAAAGATTCGAAATATTGGGTGCCCCTGGAGCCCGTCCCGGAGCAGGACGTAATCCGCTCATGGGTTCAGCCTGAGGATGTATGTCTCCTGGAATCGATGCAGGTCGGCCAGCAGCATCTGCATGACACGGGTTATGGCAACGATGCTGAAACAGGGGGCGATGAGGACAATGACGAGGAAACAGAGAGCTTCGAGCAGCAGATGGCCCCTTGGAAGGCGACTCGTAATTTCCTCCTGGCATCCCAGGGCAAGGCTATGCTCAAGCTTCATGGAGAAGGTGACCCCACTGGTCGTGGCGAGGGCTTCAGTTTCATCAAGACCTCCATGAAAGGTGGTTTCAAGGCCATTGGCGAAAGTGTTGAAGATAAGCTAGATGCCCAGAGACTGAAAGAGCTCGGCGGTCACAGTTACAACGTCGCCAGACAACAAAAGTCATACGAAACCTCGATCCGTCGGATTTGGGATGCGCAAAAAGCCAGCCTCTCGTCGACGGTCGAGCATTCGGACGATGACAGTGACATCGACCGGGAATTAGAAGAGGAGTTTAACAAGCCTACCCCAAGATCTGAAGCCCCCACTCCAGGTCCGGGCCGCCGTGATGACGAAACAACTAGCCAGTTCAGCAAGATGAGCATGCCGGATCAGAGAGGTAAGGTCTTGCGCATCGTCCGACAATTCAAGGACGACAAGGGCCAGATATATTCCAAAGAGACCATGGTCTGGGATCCCAGGGTTATCCGTCACTATATCCAGCATCGCCACAAGTTGGAAGCTCTAACCACCAAGTAAGTACAACTGACATGAGAGCCGCAAAAGCACCCTCAAACTAACCACAACCCCAGACTCGAGAACCTCCAACCAACAGGCGATCCAGAGGTAGACGCTCGCAACAAGAAACTGTACGTCATCAACATAACTACCCTCATATCAACCCCAGCCCTACCAAACAAAGCAATCACTTACAAAAATGCACAGCCTCGAAGCCGAACTCAGCCGCTTAAACAGAAACAAAGAGCGACGATTCGCGCGCGAGAAACAAAAAGGCGCGACTCGCACATCAGCCGGCGATTCCCCAGCCGACGGAGGTCCCGGTGGCAGCGGCAAAGGAGCAGGCACCCAACGCAAATGCGCGAACTGCGGCCAAGTCGGTCACATCAAGACCAACAAGAAGTGCGTCCCCTCTGCAACCCCTCTCTCTGCTTCTGATAGTGTCCCTCTCCCCTTCTTTGCTTCTGCCTTCACTTTCCCTGAACCCCCTTCTGCTCGTCCAGGAGCAAGGAGAAGAACAAGGACCCCAGCTGCAATGTTTCAGACGTCTACTCCAAATCCCGACAATATCAATATGCATATTGGTCCCCAGACGCAAATGACCCCTCAAGGACCCAGTTACATATTTAATAACACGTCAACGTCAAAGTAGCGGAACGCTAACATTCTTGGTACTGAATCAACAGACTTTGTCCCCTCCTCAACGGCACCATGAAACCCGAAGACCGTGTCAGCGATTCTGCCTTCGCTATGGGCGCTCCTCCCGCCATTTAAACCAGGAAGTATTTCTTTTACTACGACAGATTTGGCGAGGTCACTGCTATCATGTTTTGTTTGTGATACCCTTAACATACTTATTTTATTCGCATTATCTCTTTTGAAGACTTCGGTCTGTGATATGGGGGCTTATGATGGGACACTCCCCGTGGTTTACGATCCTAAATGTAATTACCTTAATAGAAGGTTAATAAGCATCTAGCCATTTAACTCGAGCCTATAGTTCAGGCTTTCGTACGAACATGTTATTGGGTACTGATATCTAAAAATACATGATAGCCCAGTGCTTCCTTGGCACGCACCACTCGAAGTGCTCATTGAAACATATTCCTGGGCTGCATAGTGAGATATAGCTCGACTTGTTGAACATGCTACAATCCATAGATCTCGGACAGATGCCCCCGTGATAGGTAAAGCCGACCTCTTTCGGGAGCGAAAGCCATTGCAACAGCCTTGGGTCGGCGGTAGGTATAGCCTACGAAGGCTCCCTCCTTGCGCATTTTGAGGACAGTCTTCTGAATCCTCTTGTCCCGTAGCATCTTATCCCGCGGCCTTTTCTTATCTCTCTGTTTCTTCAAAGTCTTTGTAGGAGGTTCTATAGCGACGTTTGAAGTGTTCTCGTTAGGGATAGGCCCCTTCTGCTTCTGCCGTGACTCTGCCTGATTCTGTATGAGTTTCGGTTTGTCTCCTGTTTCTTCTGGCCCATCACCGGAGCCTTGGGCATCCGTGGTGACAGAAATGTTGTCATTATCGGCCACGCTTCCAGCATCTTCAAAATACCTCGTATCTTCCCAGCTCTTGACTTTTGGAATGAACGGTGGACTGGACTGATGGAGCTGTTCCCATTTGATACCGCGAAAGAATGGATGGGCCTTGATATCGGCTGCATCGTCAGGGTACACATAGAAGTTTCGATAATTCCGGCTCCTGGGGTCAATGCTGGATAAGAGATGTCTCGGTGTTGATCGTGAATTGAAAACATCATTTTGGCGGTAAGCATCACAAGAGAGCCGGTACTCTTTTTCCTGGAGTAAGCGATTCATGAAGTCACTTGCCTCCACTGAGACAATTCTGTCTGTATGCCTCTCTCCCGGGAAATGTAATGTTTGGTGGTGATGCTACATGAAATGTCAGCAGCTACTAATGTTTCGCAGGACACAAGCGTACATGAATCTTCCATTTCGTCGTTTCTCGATCTTTTGCAGCAAATGGTGTAAAGCCGTACAGACACTAGATAGCTCGTATTGAGCACATGAGTTACAAGCAAACATCTTGGGGCTGGAAGACTCACTTCGTACAGGATAATCCCCACACTCCACCAGTCACACCTCCCATCATACAAACTTCCCCGGATGACCTCAGGGGCCATGTATTGGCTAGTACCGACCACACTCCTTGCCAGCCTTCGCATCTGATGTTGATCCCGCCATTCGAGAAGATTCACGGAAGGGGGCATGAAGGTAACTGCGTCGTCACTATTGTTTAATTGTTCGGCTTTTCGTTTTCGTTCCTCTCTCTGGTCCTCAACATCGCCATCAACTTGAATCCCTAGCCTCTTGACCAATGAGTACCGGTGGTCATTGTAGTACACTTGGTCATGGGCCCAGTGCCCATCGAAAGCCAGACCAAAGTCCGAGATTTTCAGATGCCCTGAGGCGGAAATCAAGAAGTTGTCTGGCTTGACGTCTCGATGGATCCAGCAAAGTCTATGGGCCTCCTCAATACACAGTACCATCTCTGCAACATACCATCTGGCGATATCTTCAGGTAAAATGCATCGTCGTATCAGCAGGCCCAAGAAGTCCCCACCGACCATGTAGTCCATGATGAGGTATAGATAATTGATATCCTGGAAACTTGCGATCAACGGAACGGTCCAGCGAGATTTTGCGGATGCTACAAGAAAATCCCGTTCAGCTCGCAGGTGGCCCTCTTGATTATTGCGTATCATTGCCGACTTTCGGATGACCTTCATGGCGAAGACGTCCTTCTTTTCTCCGATCATAACTTTTCGACGATGATTCTCACTCCCTCTGGCTGCCCTCACATTAATGAGGCTTGGGCAAGGGCGTTTCATCACAGCAGTAGGAGCTTCGCCTGCGTTATTCTCCCTAACTAAACGAACGACGCCAAAACTCCCTCTACCCAATTCTTTCAGAACTTCAAATCCGGCAGTTGACACAGTCTCGTCGTGGCAAGCACCGTGGAAGCGCGACTTAAGTACTCGGCATTGACGAAGATATTCTTGTTCCTGGACAATCCAGTTCTGCCATACTCGGTTCTTCTCTTCCAGTGTCAGAGGGAGTGAATTTATGTATTGCTCGAGTTCTCGCTGCCGTTGCGAGCGTTGGTTGATATCAGAATAGATCGACTTGAAATAAGTTTCGAAAAAGACTTTAGCATTAGCAACAGCTTCAACGGTACGAACCGTGGGCGGCACGCCAGGAGACTCCTTGATCGGAGTAAGCATTCTCCCTGTGGCAGGCCTTGATGTGCCTAATGTTGGCCTCCATCCAACTGTATCATCATGATAGTGTTCTGCTCTTTCATGAAAGATAGATGGTTCTGCCGAGGTTGGAGGTGTTGATTTAGCCCTCAATGGTGAGCCGCTACCGGTAGGCGAGCTTGAAGGATCAGAGCTATCATTGGCACTATCGCCTTGATTATTGAGGTTGGGAATTGAGGCAGTCGGGAATCTAACAGTACGGACGCTTGGTCGTTGACGTAGACGTGAACGACGAATAACAGTTGGATTTCCAAAAGTAGTTGATAATTTGCGCGACAGGAGCTGGGTGAATGCAGCTGGGGTGGACCGACTCCTCCGCTTCCCAAGGTAATTAGGTCCTCTAGTCTCATATGATTTTGACCTTTGGGACACTGCTCCTGCCTCTGTTATACCTTTCTGCATTTCTCTTTGCGTATTGGAATGACCGGATGGTATAAACGATAGCCTGGAGCTGCGACGGTCGAGCTTTGTAGAAGGAGGGGGATGAACATGGACAGTTTCGACTTCTCTGACAATTATATTCCGAGAAGTGTGTGTCCCTTGTGCACATAGAGACTGAAATGACTGCATTGCCTGACGGTGGCTTTCTGCATGTAAAGGACGATCTGGCTCAACAGCGCTGGGCGTAAGGCCTGAGCCATGGCTATCAGCTCGCATGGTGACAGATCATGGAGTAACATAATAGCTTACCCTGAGGAAAGCTTCGAAGGCCGAGTAAGGATAATATCCTGGAACTTCTTCGCCCAATACGAACTCGGATTCTATCTCTGCTGACCCGTTGAGCCGCGGAGGCATCAGAAACTGACCCTGACATAGTCGTATAAACTGCGTTTTAACGCGGTAGATATGATCATCGGCTGGTCGATGCGAGTATCCAATAGAAGGGGACTTTCAACTTGTTCTGTTGCTATTGAAACCTTTCCAAGAAGTGACCTTCCCAAGGGTTGACTATAATAGTAAAGGAATGTTCCCTGGGCCTACTATGGAAGTAGCATGTGTGTGCATGGCAAAAGATAGTATGTTTGATCGAGTAGGGCAAAAGCCACAGTGTGAGGTAGTAGTCTTGTAAGAGGCGAAAGAAAGAGAACAGGAAGTTGAAAGAGTATCGGCCACGATGGTTGATGGAGGAAGTCACGACTTACACCCATGGCACACTTGCCCTACGAAACGCCTTTCTTACACATACCGTGAGATAGACCAAGCTTAAGTATCAAACCATCCTCTTTTGCTGCTCTATTGGAGGAAAATACGCAAACTGTTTGCAATATCCTCATCCCTGCTGTATACATGCACAAAAGTGCAAGAAAGAACCAAGTCGGATATCACAATGGAAAGCAACAACAAGTGACATAACATGAACTAAACTGAAATTCGAAGCCCCTAAAACACCATTTTTTTACCAGCATGAAGATAGGAAAGAAAAATCCATATGGACAGCACTGCCACCGTGATACCCAAACATCAAGCTAATATGCAACCTTATAGATAGAAGTAGCGAAACGTCTATTTGATCTCAAGCAGCTTGACATCGAAGATCAACTTAGAGTTGCCCGGGATGCCGGGGAGAGCCTTCTTGCCGTAGGCCAGATGAGGAGGGATCGAAATGCGGCGCTCACCACCAACGGCCATACCAGCAACACCAATGTCCCAGCCCTTAATCACCTCACCCTTGCCGAGCTTGAAGCTGAAAGGCTTGCCCTTCTTGTTGGCTGTACGAAAGAGACGGTTAACAAATGCTTTATCGAACGCGTAAATTAGGGTGGTCACTCACCATCGAAGACCTTGCCGTCCTCGAGCTTTCCAATGTATCTCATGGCAACAGTGTTACCGGCCTTGGCGGCAGGTCCCTTTCCAAGCTTCTTGTCATCAATCTTGACGCCCTTAACCTCCTTGACACCAAGGGTGCCGGTGGTCTGCTCGGCGGGCTTCTTGTCCTGGCCGGAGGGGGTGGGGCCCTGCTCAAGATTCTTGGCGAACTGGACCTTCTTGGCCTCCTTTCCTTCCTTGGCTTCCTTCTTTTGCTCGACAGCAGCTGCGTCACCGTTGTTCTTCTTAAGCTTCTTCTGCTGCTTCTTGCTCAAGGTTTCCTCGCCATTGGCCTGCTTGGCGGGCTTCTCCTCATCGGCGGGGGCAGAGCGCTTGTTCTTTCCCTTGGTGTCAACAAGCTTGGGGGCTTCCTCATCGCTGTCAACCTCGGTGATTCTGGGGTTCTCGAGGTCATCAAGGTCATCGCTCTCATCGTCTTCGCCCATGAGGGCCTCAAGATCCAATTCGTCCTCGTCGGGGGAAAGATCGTAGTCATCTTCATCTTCTTCCTCCTCGTCCTCATCATCGTGGAAATGGGGATCGGTGGGCATGACATAGTTTCCGGTCAGGTAAACAGTGTGGGCACCGGTGACCTTGAAGAAAACACGCTCATCCTCAGAGATGGTGATGTCCAGAGGCTGTTGGAGATTCTGGAGGGTATCATTGTTAATACAGCACAGATCGCTAGTCAAGGCAGATATCGTACCTTCTCCGTATCCAGGGTGCAGACGACCATCTCATCGAGTTCCAGGCCCTCATCTTCTTCGTCATCTTCGTCGTCGTCAGTAGCGGGGCCCTTGCCCTTGACAAGCTTAGAGATAGCAGCCTTCAGGTCGAACTCTCCATCCTCGTCCTCATCATCCTCATCATCCTCGTCCATGGCTTCCTCCATTTCCTTGAGAGCGGCGAGCTCCTTGAGCTTGCGAGCCTTCTCCTTGTCACTAGGACCGCCATTGACCTCCTCATCATCGGAATCTTCATCGGAGTCCACATCCTCATAGTCGTCATCCGAGTCATCCTCAAGATCCAGGCCGGGGGGAGCGCGCACGATCCTGAGGGTGGCTCTGGGGCGCTGGTTGGTATCGTGTCCATCGAAGTCAGGTTCCTCGTCAGGATCGATGGCAGCCATGCTCACACGGAACTGTTGCAAATCAATTAGACACTATCATCACGACTTAAACTTTGAGACACCATCTAACTTACCATGGCCGCAGCATCGGGCACTGCGGGAATGAGGGCACCTCCGGCAGGCACCTTAAGAGCATAGACGGCGACAGGTTGAACGGCAGACATGGTGGGCAAAAATTAAGATAATACAGATATGAAGGAGGAAGAGGAAAGGTAAAAGGAAGGGAGAGGTAAGAGGTAAGAAAAACAAACAGAAGCAACGAGAGAAGGGACGAGAAGGGACGAACGAATCCTGAGGAAAAGTTTTGATTGATACCGTCAACTAGTCTTGACTGCGGATCCTCCAAGGGAGCATAAGTGGATCCGCTTTTTTTTTTTTTTTTCTTCTTCTTTTCTTTTTAGACCTTTGAAAATCCAGTCACCAATCAGAGAGCTCACCGCCTCCATCTCCCCTTCTGCCACCACTGACCGCCTCAAAACCTCACCGCATCACATGACTTCGTTCCTCCCGTCGCGAGCTCCGCCGCCACCGCGTATCTTGTTCAAGAAGGTCCCTCATCGCCTTTGTTTTCCCTTCCATGAATTGCTGACGCTGTGAGTCGTATCATGAGAACCGGTCTCTAGCCCATCATGGGCTCTTTGCTTGACGCAAATTCTAGCACCGTGCGCAAGCGGATCGCAGGCCGTACGTTCGTTGACCCTCTCCAGAGCTATGATGTCAGTGATTTTAACTGTTACTTTCTAGACACATTTGACAATGAGGAGGGCGAAGAATATGGGGCTTCGACCTTTGGGGGGCATGGCGATTATATGCGTCGGAAGAAGATCAAGTTACAAAATTTAGATGCCGAGATTCGTTCCTCAGCATCAGATTGCCCCCCAATCTTTCGCGGTGTGGTTGCGCACGTAAATGGCTACACTCAACCGTCTCTGCAGGACCTTCATCGTCTAATCGTAAGCCGTGGCGGCGGTTTTCTCCAATATCTTGACGGAAAGACGGCGGCCACCCATATCATCGCAAGCTCTCTCACGCCGAAGAAGCGAGAGGAGTTCCGAAGATATCGTATTGTAAAACCAGCATGGGTGGTGGAAAGTATTAAAGCCGGACGCATACTTCCCTGGGATTCTTTTAGAGTGGTGGACGAGGGTCACTCTCAGAAAGTTCTCAAGTTCGACAATGGCCGCATTCTCAGTCAGACGAATTGCTCGCCTTCAAGCTACAAAGATCAACCATCTCCAAGCCCGTACACCTCTCGAGCAAAGGAGCTAGACATAGTGGACGATGTTAATGTGCAGCCATTAGTCTCTGTCGCTGAGCCGCATAGCGCTGCTGGTTCGTCGCTCAAGGCTGCGTCTCAGTCAGATTACGGCGACTTCCCAAGTTTCAGCTCTACGGAAGAGACGAGCAAAGTCCCCCTTCCACAAGAGCCTCGGAAAGACCAAGCACAAGAGCCTGAGCCAAGATTAAATGATACGACCCGTAACCCTAGTCGTAGCATGTCACCGAAATCTAAAGCAATCGTAAAGCCTGCGTCACCCCCTTCTCCGGCCAAGCCGGACATGTCATCCGAAGCATACAATGCGCAACTTTTATCGGATCCACGCATGAGGAACTCGAGCGTTGTCAATCCGGATTTTCTCCAGCAATTTTATAAGGAATCTCGTTTGCATCATCTATCTACGTGGAAAGCTGAGCTGAAGGCCCAGCTTCAAGCAGCAACGAAGGAGAAATCGCAATCTCAACCAGCGAGGAAGAAAAGTGCTCCTGGCGCAAGACGATATATAATTCACGTGGATTTCGACTGCTTCTTTGCGGCTGTATCTACTCTGAAGAACCCAGGGTATGAAGGAAAGCCAGTTGCTGTTGCGCATGGCACCGGCTCTGGTTCAGAGATTGCAAGTTGCAACTATGCAGCTCGTGCTCATGGGGTTAAGAACGGCATGTGGATGAAGGGAGCCCTACAGGCATGTCCTGATTTAAAGGTGCTGCCTTACGACTTCCCTGCATACGAAGAGGCAAGTCAGAAATTTTACAGTGCCATCCTTTCCCTGGATGGAATTGTGCAGAGTGTGAGTATTGACGAAGCGCTCATTGACATCACTACTCAGTGCTTGGAGGCTGGTGGATCGGATGGCAGGGGTATCTCAGAGGGTTCACTTTATCGGGAACAAGCAAAGGCAGATGAAATAGCCCAGAGCCTGCGGGACTCTGTGAAGAGCAAAACGGGCTGTGCTGTATCAGTTGGAATTGGGGGAAATATCCTACAGGCAAAGGTTGCATTGCGCAAAGCAAAGCCCGCTGGTCAATTCCAGCTCAAACCGGACGCTGTTCTAGACTTCATTGGGGACCTGACAGTCCAGGACCTACCAGGTGTTGGGTACAGCCTGGGAGCCAAACTTGAAGAACTCGGCGTTAAGCTTGTGAAGGATGTGAGGGAACTTGCGCGTGAAAAACTTACTTCTACGCTCGGGCCGAAACTTGGAGCGAAGATCTGGGATTATGCTCGCGGAATCGACCGCACAGAAGTTGGGACTGAGGTAATGAGGAAATCTGTCTCTGCCGAAGTCAACTGGGGTATTCGTTTCGTCAACCAAGTTCAAGCCGACGATTTTGTGCAATCTCTGTGCGAAGAACTACACCGGAGACTCGTCGAAAACCTAGTCAAAGGCAAGCAATTGACCCTAAAGGTTATGAGGAGGGCAGCTGATGCACCCCTGGAGCC